ACTTAATACAGCTCTTCATTTATTTAGGTCTTTACTGTCTCTTGGTGATGATACACACTTTTCAGTTTAGATGCCTGGTATAACTTCGTTAGAATGATTACAAGTAATTGATTTCTTTCTTTGAAACTATTATAAATGGTATTTAATTAATTTTCAAATTGTTTGTTACTAATATATACAAATACAATTGGTTTTTCTATATTGACCTAGTATCCAGCAATCTTAATAAATTCACTTATTAACTCTTATACTTTGTACATTCTTTTGGATATTTTATGTATATAGCCACATTATCTATACATAGAGTTTAGTTATTGTTTTCAATTGTTATTTTCTTTCTTGTCTGCTTGCTTGCTTTTCTTCTTTCTTTTTCTTTCTCTTTCTTTTTCTTTCTCTCTTTCTTTCTTTCATTGCACTTAACCAGTGCAATGAAATCTTACCAGATTTCTACTACTATACTGATAAATACTAGTCGTGATCATGGACAATCTTGTTTTTGTTGTGACTTCAGTGGGAAAATATTCAATATTTCATCATTATACATGATGTATCTTAAAGATGTTCCCATCTATTTTAAATGTGTCGAGATTTTTTTTAAAAATCATGTATTGGTGTAGAATTGTATAAGTCTTTTTCCCTATCTATTGAGATGATCCTCTGAGTTTCCTTCTGAATTTTAAAGCACATTGAATGGAAGAGTACATTGATTGATTTTCAAATCCTTGCATTTCTAGGACAAACACTATTTGGTAGTGATGTACTAACTTTTTAATATATCACGGATTTGATTAATCTATGTTAAATTATTTTATCTATGTTCATGACAGGGCTTAGCCTGTGATTTTCCTGGTTTGCAGCATATTTATCAGAGTTTGGTGTCTGAGTATGCTGGCTTCATAAAATAAATTGGGAGAATTTTCATCTCCTCTACTATAAAGAGGTTTGTTAAAGAATAGTATCATTTCTATCTTAAGTATTTCAAAGAAATCACAAGCACTCTGGGCTTGAAGATTTCTGTGCAGAGAGCTTTTAAATTGCACATTAATTTTCTTTAATAAACATAAATATTCATATTTATTCATGAGTTTCTAAATATTATTAATCTTTTCAGATTACCAATTTGGCTTTGATTTTCTCTATCATGTATTTCTACTTTCTGTTTTATTTCTTCTCTCATTTTTATAGTTTTTTTCTTATACTTTTTTTGGGTTTAATTTGCTTTTCTTCTTATAACTTCTTGAGTTGGAAGCCTAGTTTATTGATTTAAACTTTTTTTTTCTTTAATAAGATATGCATTTAAAGCTGTAAATTTCTTTTCTTTTCTTTTCTTTTTTTTTTTTTTTTTGAGACGGAGCTTCGCTCTTGTTACCCAGGCTGGAGTGCAATGGCGGAATCTCGGCTCACCGCAACCTCCACCTCCTGGGTTCAAGCAATTCTCCCACCTCAGCCTCCCGAGTAGCTGAGATTACAGGCACGCGCCACCATGCCCAGATAATTTTTTGTATTTTTAGTAGAGACGGGGTTTCACCATGTTGACCAGGATGGTCTCGATCTCCTGACCTCGTGATCCACCCGCCTCGGCCTCCCAAAGTGCTGGGATTACAGGCTTGAGCCACCGCGCCCAGCCAAAGCTGTGAATTTCCATGTAATAATTGTCTCAATTGCATTCCATAAATTTTTATTTCTCAATTTTCATTTTCATTCAGTTTAAAAGATTTCCTAATGTTTATTGTAATTTCTTATTTGACTTGTATGTGTTGTTTTGAAATATGTTGTTTGCTTTTCAAATATTTGGGAATTTTTAATTTCTAGTTTAATTATAATGTCATTATACTTTATGTCTGAGAATATGCTCAATTTAGGTAAGTATTTTGTAGATACTTGAAAAATATTTGAATTCTGCAGTTGTCAGCTGTGATTTTCTGTATTTGTCAGTTAGATCAGTGTAGCTGATAGAGTTGTCCAACCTCCTGTGTTCCTACTGAATGTTTTGTCTGTTTATTCTGTTGGTTATTGAGAGAGAGAGGGGTGTGTTAAAATCTCCAGTGATGAGAGTAGATTTAAATTCTATGAGTTTTGCTTTATACATTTTAGAACTGGTTTTAGATGCACAAAGATTTGGGATTGTTATGTTCTCCTGTTGAACCGACCTTTTTGCTTATGAAATATGCTTCTTTTTCTCTCAGTATTTTTTCCTTAACTATCCTTAAAGAAATATAATTTGTGAGACCGTAATACAGCAATATCAGCATTCTTCTACTTTTTGCATGGTATATTGTCCCCTTCTTTTCCTTCTTTTTTTTCTTTTTTTTTTGAGACGGAGTTTCGCTCTTGTTACCCAGGCTAGAGTGCAATGCTGCGATCTCGGCTCACCGCAACCTCCGCCTCCTGGGTTCAGGCAATTCTCCTGCCTCAGCCTCCTGAGTAGCTGGGATTACAGGCACGTGCCACCGTGCCCAGCTAATTTTTTGTAATTTTTAGTAGAGACGGGGTTTCACCATGTTGACCAGGATGGTCTCGATCTGTTGACCTCGTGATCCACCCGCCTCGGCCTCCCAAAGTGCTGGGATTACAGGCTTGAGCCACCGCGCCCGGCCTTCTTTTCCTTTTTAACCCATCCACTACTTTAAAGTGTGTCTCCTCATGGACACAGGGAGGGGAACGTCACACACCAGGGCCTGGTGGGTAGGGGGCTAGTGGAGGACTAGCAGGGGGTGGGAGGATTAGGGAGGGATAGCGATAGGGGAAATACCTCATGTAGATGATGGGGCTATGGATGCAGCAAACCAACACTGTGGCACATGTACACCTATGTAACAAACCTGCATGATCTGCACATGTACCCTGGAACTTGAATTTTAAAAAACTTTATTTTAAATTTTAATAAACTTAAAAAAAAAGAAAAAAATTGGCAACATTAAAAAAAGTGTGTCTCTTGTAAATGGCATACAATAGGTATTTTATTATCTAGTCTCATAATCTTTGCATTTAATCATGGTATTATGGCTACATGCATTTAGTGTAATTACCAATACAGTTGGGTTAAATTTCATAATGTTGCTACTTGTTTTCCATTTATGCTGTTTGTTCTTCGATTTTTTATCCATTTAATATTATATCATAGTATGCTGCATATTTCTACATTAGCATCATGTATTTTGTTTTTGAGGGCTCTACTGTAGTCCATTGTTTTGATGTTTCAGAAGTTACTGAACCATTAGCTACCATGTGGTCTTCCCAATGCTTTTGCTATTATAGATAATGCTGCACTGAACATTGTATATGCAAAACTTTCTTGTTGAGATATTATTTTATTAGGGAATATTTCCAAATGAAGAATTACTGATTCAAAGAGTAGAAATATCTTTACAATTCTTGATACAATTTGTCACCTTACATTTCCTAAAAATGTACTCCAGTTCACAAGGTTATTAGCAGTATGTAGCTGTACTGCTTTCATTGCAGCCTTGCAATCATTGTGAGTTTGTTTTTTAATTTAAAAAGTTGTATAGAAGAGAACTGAAGGGGTGCCAGAATTATGATTTTCACTGCCATTGCTGTATATAGATAAACAGAAAAAGAGAAAGTTATTTATGAATGAGCTCATTTCATCTATAAGCTGGACTAAAATTCCAATTTGTTCTGCTTCTATTTTTGCACACACTTGGACTTTGGCAGTAAGCCCCTGTAAATAGCTCTAGGTAAAATAATGTATATTTATGACAGAATAGGTAAAGTGGCATCTACATATTATTTGAGCCTAATAAAACTATAATTCACAAATAAAACCAAAGCAGGTTTATAGAATCAGAGGAAACAGAGAGAGGAGAAACAATTGAAAACATGTATAAAAGCAGGGTGAATGCATATTGCTAATTTGAACCTTATAAGAATAATCTCAAAATTGAGTGGCTGCATCACTGAACAAATAAACTTTTTTCTCAGGTAGATGATACTGTTGAGGATCAGTGGAAAAAATCTTAAGCCAAGAGATTTTTTTTCTAGTAAGAGCTAAACTGGCATAAAATGCAGGATATTCCATTATCAAAAATGCTGTAGACGCTTAGTAAAAACTAAGTTTCTTGAAATTATAGTCTTGTGATCTGGACCTGAAAATTCAGAGTTCAGTCATATTTTTAAAAAGCACAAAAACAACAACAGCAGAACCTAAAATAAAAGTGTAGTAAAGATATTATTCATAATCATCATCCCTCAGGGGCTCCAAAATGCACTGAAAATTTAGGTTTTAAAATTTAAAAAACAATACTGTGACACTTCATTGTAGAAGATGGGAACTAGAAATTGGCTTTGAATAAGCAAATCTGTTGTTTGGCAACTTTCCCCTCTAGAACCGAATCTCAAATCTTTATTCAGTTTATGACAAATATTAACTAATCTACTGAAAGTCCAAATATTTTAGCATATTACTGTCAGGATAAATAAATATAAGCTGCATTTGGAAAGTCTTTCATGTTGACGGGTAATTCCTTAATTTATATCATCACTGTTGTAGAAAATAGTACATTTATTCATACTTGTGATCATTCTCATCACGTTATTATAAAACAAAGCCAAATGGATAAAGCCAGATGTATGAGTGTAGATCATATCTGTCAAAATTTTGTCATCTTCCTACAATAAATTCATATTAACAATTTTTAAAATATCTAATTCCTAAATAAAACAAATCTGGCTCAAAACATGAAGTATTTTATAAAAACCTCAGGTAACTCTTGTAAATACATAGAAGCAAATAGATTGGCCCCTTCCTTACTCCTGTTTAATGTTTTAATTCCATATACCAGGGTAGTAAAACAAATCCTTCTTTTTTTATTATTTCAGCAGACAGCTGCAAGCAGACAACTTGATTCAACCACCTAAAACCAGATTTCTCTCCTGACCAATATTCCTTCATCTAAGTTTGGTTTATTGAAAGAAAATAATATGCTTCTGTGAAAAAAGGAGAAAAATCAAAGTGATGTTTTACATTTATTCTCTAGGAGGTGTTTGGTTACCGTGACCAGAATGTACGGAAATCCCTCTGCTTTGTTGCATCCGTGCTGACCTGTGGGGCTCTTCTGCTGGTGTTCTACTGGAGACCCCAGTGGAGAGTGTGGGCCAACTGCGTCCCATGTCCCTTGCAAGAAGCAGACACTGTTTTGCTGAGGACAACAGTGCGTACCCTTCTGTTATCTGTTTCAAATGCCATGATCATGTCTTCTGTATGGCCTCTGTGGCACAACTCTGTGACTAGTATTAGATTTCAGAGGGTAGATTTCCTCTATTTAAAGAGTTTCCATAGATCACAACAGGAGATGGCAAAATTATCTCTGCAATCCACTTGCTATCTCTCATTTTGACCCAGGAACAAAGGGCATTTCTTCCACTTCAGCTTGGGGAAATTTCGACCACATCAGGCTAACAGAGCGTGCTCTTAGTCCTTACATGAACAGTGGCTGTCAGTGTTACACCTTTTAGATTCCATAACATGGGAACAGTCATTTAATTTTTCAAAAATACGTATTTTGGAGGATATTACACATTTTAAACACCTAAATGTCACATTAAAATAGCTAGAAAGTATTTTCTGGATAGAAAGCTCTCCTGCAAAACATATCTTTCTTTTTATTCTCTAGCACAGTGACTATAAACTTTTAGTGCAAATCAGAATCATCATAGAAATGAGAACTCCTGGTCCCACCCAGAGTTTTTAATTCAGTAGGTCTGAAGTGGGGCTGAGAATGCACATTGCTAGTCAGTTCTGAGATAAAGCTGATACTCTTGTTTGGGCCAAAGTTTTGTACTAAACTCTGAAAACCCTTGCCTAACACTTGGTAGGTATTTGGTTGATTGAGCACCTTATTGAATAACACGTGAGAATTTCATGAACTGGATTGTCTTTTCTAGGATGAATTTCAAAGATATATGAGAAAGAAGGTATTCTGCCTCTACCTATCCACACTGAAGTTTCCTGTAAGCAAAAAGTGGAAGGAATCCCTGGTGGCTGACCACCACTCTTTCATAAACCAAGCCTTACAAAAGCCAGAATTAAAAGTAAGTTATTTGAAGAGTACAGTGTTATGGCATGTTTGCAGAGAAAATACAAAATAAGTGTTTATCAAATGGAAGTTCTGAATATCACACTTTTGGAATGGGAATAACAGCTATGTATCAAAGAAAGTGAGACAGGCTGGGCATGGTGGTTCACATCTGTAATCCCAGCACTTTGGGAAGGCCAACATGGGTGGTCACTTGAGCCCAGGAATTTGAGACCAGCCTGAGAAACATGGCAAAACTTCATCTATGTTTAAAAAAAAAACAGAAAAAGAAAAAAAGATCAAGGACCAGGTGCAGTGGCTCATGCCTATAATCCTAGCACTTTGAGACAATGAGGCAGGTAGATCATGAGGTCAGGAGTTTGAGACCAGCCTGGCCAATATGGTGAAACCCCATTTCTACTAAAAATACAAAAATTAGCCAGGCATGGTGGTAGGCTCCTGTAATCCCAGAGGAAGCTGAGGCAGGAGAATCGCTTGAACCCAGGAGGAGAAGTTTGCAGTGAGCCAAGATCATGCTACTGCACTCCAGCCTGGGTGACAGAGCGAGACTCCATCTCAAAAAATAAATAAATAAATAAATAAATAAATAATTAGCTGGGTGTGGTGGTGCATGCTGGTAATCCCAGCTACTTAGGAGGCTGAGGCAGGAGGACTGATTGAGCCTGGGAGGTCAAGGCTACAGTGAGTGGTCATCATGCCACTGCACTCCAACCTGAGTGACAAAATCAGACCCTGTCGCAAAAAAAAAAAAAAAAAAAGAAAGTGAGACCCAAAAGGGGACCTGCATCCTGCATTGAACACCACTCCCCTCTCTTGATGAGCTTTATGATGTGAATGACACCTGTTCCATCACATTTGTAATTGTAGCTGCGATGCATTCAAGTGCAGAAAATCAGGTATGTTTGGAACAACCTGGAGAAGCGGTTTCAGAAAGTTGGGTGAGTACAATGTTTCGTTGCCTCTAAGTCAGGATACGGGGAAAAACACTGATTTGTTAAGTGCTGTGAACTGAAGCGTGGTTCCTACCCTGACTATGTCCTAGGTTGCTAGAGGATAGCAACTCCTGCTTTGACATCCATCAGACGTTTGGATTGGGTCTGACCAGTGAAGAGCAAGAGGTCAGGTAGGTTTTATCATACTCCTTGAGAGTAAACTCTGCCAGCAAAAAATGAAGTATCAAATCAGTTATCATCAGTGCATTGTTGGCAGAATGCTTCATCAGCCTGATACAGTCTAAGTTCATTTACTGGCAGCAGAGATATTCCGAATTGTTCTCTTCTTAGGCAACCTTATTTTTACAAAGACTAAAAGAACAAGGCAATCATATAAAATGTGATCTTTTATCTCAGGCTTGTAGAGCAATCATCTTTGTGTTGTCTTATTTTTTTTTCCTTTCTTAAAAATATCTTGAGTAATTCCTTTCCTCCAAATTCTCAGAGAGACAGAAAGACAATACTATGATTGCATTTTACTCTGAAGAACTAGCCCTGGAGATGAGGATTTTGCTTGCTCAGTTAGTTGTGTTAGTCACTACTGTATCTGCAGCACCCAGAACAGTGCTTGATTCCTGGTAGGAGCTCAATAGATAGTAAATGAATAAATTAATATATTCATTGATTTGTTAACTAATGAATAGGCATCTTGCAAGGAACCAGGGATCTGGAGAAAAAGGTTTAGTCATTGTCCCAGAGACACTGACTAGTGAGAAAGAAAGGCAAAAACAGTAACGCAATCATGAGATTTGTACCTATAGATGCACATACATTAGGAAATGCTTACACTGTTGTTAACTACAGAGATACAGAGGCCCTGCTTTGTTCAGCTATTATTTGAAATGGTGAATCCTCGCAAATCTAAAAGAAAATCATTACAAGTCTGCCTCAGAATCTTATAATCACCTTTATTCCTCACCCATTTTGAGAGAGAGTAGTTGGTTAACCTTTACAGTCAACCAGAAACACCTATTCTCAAGCTAAGAAGTAATATGATACTTTAAAATATAGGTTTTAAGCTCCACCCTCATAACTCCAATAGTTCTATAGGAGCAAGGGGTACTTATAAGAGAGGAGATGCATTTTTAGCAAGCAATCCCCACAATTCTAACAAACACCAAGGCTAAGATTTGCCAATCTGTTGTTTTTACGTTTTTCTTCTATCAGACACTATGAAAAATGAACCAGACATCTGGTCTAGGACAATATTGTGTTATTATGTAAGATTTCAGATGTAATGCTTAATACATTGAAACACAAAAGTTTTTAAACTCATTAAAAATATGTTGGTTTAGTAGCATTAAGTACAAGACATATAAAAGATTTATCCAGGACATTTAAGAATTCTAGTTGATAGATGTAGATATACTCTGCCTAGGTAACCACTTCCACTGTAAAGATTTCTCGTCAGTGCAGCTACCTCATGATTTTTTCTTATTTATCAAGCACCAAACTTTAATAAACATCGTACATAATTAAATTTAAACCTGATCCACAGCTGGGCATGGTGGCTCGCACCTGTAATCCCAGATCTTTGAAAGGCCGAGGTAGGTGAATCACCTGAGGTCAGAAGTTCGAGACAAGCTTGGCCAACATGGTGAAACTTCATCTCTACTAAACCTACAAAAATTAGCCAGGTGTAGTGGTGTGTTCCTATAGTCCCACTACTTGGGAGGCTGAGGCAGGAGATTCACTTGGACCCGGAAGGCAGAGGTTTCACTGAGCTGAGATCGTGCCACTGCACTTCAGCCTGGGAAACAGAGTGAGACTGATCCACAAAATATAGAACTTGACAATCTAATAAGCAAGACAAAGAGTATCATTTTCCAAATATGATGAATGGAGGAGAAAATCTACTTATAAACATAGTCATGTTTATGTTATTTGGGGGTGAAAAGAGAGTAAGTAGAATATGAAAGATTTTTTTTTCCCTTTTTTTTTAGGGTAAGAGCAAAGTCTTTAAAGAAATTAAATGTGATGGATGATTGAGTAATATTTTACCAATTTCCCAGGTGAATTTGAGCTCTCTTACATTAAAAAACAAGTACATAACATGAGAAATGAAGGGGGATACACAAGAATCTCTGTTGATGAAAAGCTACAGAGTTTACATGCAAATTTTTCTGTTTGTTCCCTAGCAGCCAGGTAAAGAGAGAAAATGCACAGATTTACATAGCTCTCACTTTTCAGTAGCATGAGCATATCAGAACATCAGGAGAAACAACTTCATCCTGGAGAGAAATTGTGAGAGGAAGAGAACAAGTGAATTTTTCCAGGAGTTCCATGTTCCCAGCTTTACCCGTCATGAACTGAACTCAGTCTTCCATCTCAGTACCTGTCCTAGACAAGTCAAAAGACAATTCTTTTATATCACAAAAGTGAGGCCCTATGGGAAAAAAAAGACCTACCTGATTCCTTAACTAGTCAAGTAGTCTTCCTATGAAGATTGTTTATGAGGTGAGCATCTCTTCACCTTCTTTTTCACTCAGCCCACCCAACCTGCTTCTGTCCCTTCTGTTTAGGCTTGAAAATAAAAGGAGTAAATGACTTTCTGGCAGTAGAAATGGAAGGACTCTCTCTCTACCACTCTGCTCCCCACTACACACACACACACACTCTTGGGGTTAAATCCGGACCAATCACCTGCATGGTGACCTAGCTCTCAGGAAGAAAAAAAGCTTTGAAAGATAGGGTTTGCTGGTTTCTATGGTGGGAATATTCCATCCATGGCCAACTTAAAGCCACCAAGGTGACATCACCAAATGTGAAGCTGGGAAGAGATGCTCCCCTTGGTTTAGTGATTCTGCAAGGCCAAATTTAATTCTCAATGTTTACCAAAGCATTGAGAGAAAAGCATGCTTGTCAGCACCAGAGAAAAGGAATCCGAGTAACAGACAGCAAGAGAAGGTGGATTTGCCATTACTGTGTAACTTTAAGCTGACAGAAACTGTTTCATGAGAACACAACATTAGAAGACAGAGAAAGAAGAAGCAAAATGTGAGAAAGAGAGAGAGGGAGCCTACTATGAGACCTTACTCTCTTACTCCACAGTCTTGGGGAAGGAAAAGTTAGAAACCATGGTTAAACACCATGACCTCTATCCCCTTTAGAAACCACCTCTAGAAAATAGCCTTGTAGTAGATACTCAGCCATCAGCACTTACAGAAAGCTCAAGGAAGGGCTGTTTGGAGAAGAGGGAGGGGGCTTTACTCATTCTTCTGGAGGCCAATAACAGTCTCAACTATTAGTATTCAATCAAACGTTAATGAGTTACTTAAAAATATAATGTGTCTATATATTTTCTTTAAAATGTAACGCATAAGGCATTTAATAAAAATTAAATGGACTGAGATCATTTTCTTTTTCTTTTCTTTTCTTTTTTTTTTTGGGTTGGAGTCTCGCTCTGTAGCCAAGGCTGGAGTGCAGTGGCGTGATCTCTGTTCACTGCAACTTCCGCCTCCTGGGTCCCAGTTCAAGCAGTTCTCCTACCTTAATCTCCCAAGTAGCTGAGATTACAGGCATGAGCCACCACGCCCAGCTAATTTTTGTATTTTTTAGTAGAGACGGGGTTTCACTGTGTTGGCCAGTCTGGTCTTGAACCCTGACCTCATGATCCAATCATTTTCTTTTTTAATAAATGAGCAGATCCATGGTTCCATGGATCTGGGCCCATTTAAAGTACAAAATCACTTAACTCTAATGCCTTATTTTAGAGCAAAGCCCTACAGAGGCACCAGTAAACCTAAGTCCAGATCTCCTTGGCAGGATCCTGCATGGGTTGCTTTGTAACCCCATTTCCATTCCTGATGTCCTCCTGGTCCTTTCCCTTCTGCGTCCCCATGCCTGGGAAGACTCAGGGTCTTTCCCCAGAAAAGCTGACTGGAAGTGTCTCACTTAGCTCACATGAGAGCTTGAAATCCTCTAAGAGCCCAACTTCCTGAGTTTTCCTGAGGCTATCTGAAAACGTGCAATTTAGGCAATGAAGTAAATGGGCAGGTCACAGATGAGGACTAATGTGAAAAACTAAAATAACCTTCATGTCAGTTGTAAAATGGAGATACATTCTTTGTATAAATGTCTCATTAAAAGTACATAGGCAGATTCAAGGTGTAATGAAATAGAGATTTTTTTCCTTCCATAAAGCAATTTCTCAACACTTACCAATCTTGTTTTTATTATTGTTTTTAATGGAAGGGCTCTAATGCCACCGTCTTGTTGTATGATGCAACTACATCCAAATCCCAGAAGTTGGATGCCATGTCCTATGCATCTGTGAATACCTTAGGTCTTCCTCTCTTTATAAAACAAGAGTGTTAGGGAAGTGAGGAACTCGCTAACAGAAGCACGTGGGAACTTTCTCAACCTCTACATGTCTGCTTCCTAAAAATTCCTAAGTTCCTGGAAGTGTGTTATGCCAGAATCTCCTGGCCTGGCATTGTGTGTTTGGAAAACTCTAGATGTCCCTGCCTGCCAGAGACCCTACTGGAAACTTATCAGAATGGAAGCCGTGAGCAAAAAACAGGTGTAGTTTGAAAAAGCTCCACCATAATTCTAACATGCCCTTCCTTCCTCCTTGAGGACTCCTCTAGTCTTTACCACCTGGAGCCTAAAGTGCCCACCACATAACATATTCTTAACAATTGTTTGGTAAGTTAATTGAATGAATGAATAAATAACAAATAAAAAGGGACATGGACCTCCCCCAAGAGAAACTATTCTTAGTCATCTGCATTTGGTTTTCGGCAGTGGCTCATGCCTGTAATCCCAGCACTTTGGGAGGCTGAGGAAGGTGGATCACAAAGTCAGGAGTTAGAGACTAGCATGGGCAACACAGTGAAACCCTGTCTCTACTAAAATGCAAAAAATTAGCTGAGCATGGTGGTGGAGGCCTGTAGTCCCAGCTACTTGGGAGACTGAAACAGGAGAATCACTTGAACCCAGGAGGCAGAGGTTGCAGTTAGCCAAGATTGTGCCACTGTACTCTAGCATGGGCAATGGAGCAAGACTCCATCTCCAAAAAAAAAAAAAAAGAAAGAAAGAAATTCTAACAGATTTACTGATATCTCAGGGTTGGAGGAAACCCCAATGATTCCTCAAGTTTAGCCCATGGTCCCTGCAGAAATCTCCTCCACAAGTTTCCTGTTGAGAAATCACTCAACTTCTGGAGAGGGACCATCTATCTCCAAAGCAACTCTTCTAATGGATAGTTATCACTATTAGGCAAGTCCACTTAATTTTATTTGACCTGTGTTTTTCTGTGAAGCCCCTGGGAACAATCTGGCTCCTGTTTTCCCTGCCAGCTGCTCAGGTTTTTAGTCAGGGAATGTCAGCTTCCTTTTTCTTAGACCTTTCCACATGTGAACCAGCTTCAAATCTCATATTTCTTCCCATTGCTCAGTCAGTGATCAATGCCCTGATCATTCTGCTTGGCTTGTGCTGAAACTGAGCTGGGTACATGGTCTCTAAACACACAGTATTTTTGGCAAGAAGCAGTAGAAGAGACAAAGCAGCAAGGGACATGCCAGGCTGATTTAAATATGGCTCAGATGAGCCATAAAGAGGATAATCTACAGGTAAATATTGATTCACTGGGCCCCAGTCCTCATGGGATCTGAGCTCTTCTCTCTTAAAGGTAATATTGCCAAACTTGAAGAGCCAAAGAGCATCAGACCCTAGGCTTGCTTTCTAAACTGCTTTCCACAGCCTGTGTACTGCCTTGAACCTCATTAATTAATTCTAATATTTAGGAAACATCCTCTAGCTAGGTCAGACACTGTGCCATTTTATGCTAGATTTTTTTTTTTTTTTTTTTTTTTTTAGATGGAGTTTTGCTCTTGTTGCCCACACTAGAGTGTGATGGCATGATCTTGGCTCACTGTAACCTCTGCCTCCCAGGTTCAATGGATTCTCCTGCCTCAGCCTCCCAAGTAGCTGGGATTACAGGCATCCACCACCATGCCTAACTAATTTTGTATTTTTAGTTGAGACAGGGTTTCTCCATGTTGGTCAGGCTGGTCTTGAACTCCTGATCTCAGGTGATCTGTCTGCCTTGGCCTCCCAAAATGCTGGGATTTCAGGGGTGAGCCACTGTGCCCAGTCGATGCTAGATTTTTTAAACAGGGTTTAAAAATCTCTGTTTCTGCCTTTAAAAAGGCTCTAGGAAACTTGAGGGGAAAGACATGTAAATATACATTGTAATTTAATGATGTAAGTGCTGTTGCTCAGAAAGGAAAGGTTGTTGGAAGGGAGAAAAATACAGTTAGCTGTGCCAGAGGGAGTAAGATTTCAAAGATAGCTGCCATTTATTAAGAACTAAATGCTTTATGTATTTATCTCATATGCAACTGATAGCATTTTTTTTAAATGAGGGTCTCCTTGTGTTGCCCAGGCTAGTCTCATACAAACTTTTGAGATCAAGCAGCTCTTCTGGCTCAGCCTCCCAAGTAGCTGGGACTGCAGGTGTGTGCCATACTCTCAGCTTGATAGCAATTTTATTAGGTATGTTTTATAAAACCCATTTTACAGATGAGAAGAAAGTGGCTGACCCCTCATTCAGCCATCAGTTCATTCATTCAACATATAATAGGCTCTGTTTTAGGCATTAGGAATATATCAATGTCCTCTGGAAGCTTATATTATAGTGGAGAATATAGTCTTTTATCTGCATGCTTATTAAAATGTAAAACATAACTTGTAATTTCAGGTAATTAATATACACTATAATGAAAAATAAGGCGAGATAAGGAGAATCTGAACTGAGAGTCAGGGCAGCTATTTTAAGTAGCATTGTTAGGGAAAACCCCAATAAGGAGGTGCTGTTGGAACAGAGAATGAATGAAATTCTTTCCACAAGGGAACACCCTTGTTTCATTTAGGGACCAAGGGAGCAAGCCATACAAAGTTGTGGGGAAAATTAGTTCCAGGTGGAGGGAACAGCAAGCACAGGGTCTCATCTGTATTCAAATCCAGGTCTAGTTGACCCCACAGGTCTCAACCATTAGGCTTGATTGTCAGATCTAGTTCTCAAAGGCTGAGTAGGCATTTACAAACTGTGGGAATGTGGGGAGGGGCATGCAAAGCAGAGAGAGACAGAGGAGGATCAAGTTTGGGATCCTAAGTTCTGACACTTTGGTTAACAACAGTTTATTGCCCCAGATTGTGCAGAAGAGTCCTGAGGACCAAAATGGTTTGAGTTATGGTTTCTTTCCAGTGTGAGGTGTAGGGACTTAAGAAGTCCAAGAGCATGATAGGCTGTACTCTCTGATTCCCAATATCCTTGTACCTCAGTGTTTTCATGGCATGGAGTCAGAAGACCTTGGTTTGAGTTCTCTCTGTCTTTTGCAGACTACAGTTGTACTTAGAAAAAATATGGCTAAGAAGTCAGATAAACCTGGGCTCAGCTTTCTGTTATAACTCAGTGAAACCGAAGATCTCTGGATTCTCCCCATTGGTACTTGCTGAGGCAGATTTGAGAAGTGGAGTCATATACCATGCTACAAAGCCTGACTCTTCCTAGCTCTGTGATACTGGAAAAGTTTCTTGGTTTATCTGAACTTCGGTTTTTATTACAATAGATGCTAATATGAAATCTCATGGGGATAATGTAATGATTGAAGGAGTTAATGCATATAAAGGCTAAGTGCCTTTTCTGACACTGGCAACTCTGTTTAAAAGTTACATTGTCGTGATTAATGCTAGATGTGTGCACTTTTGCCTACATGCCAGACTGAATAATTTTTTCCATTGGCAAAGTAGGGATATCAGCCTTTTCCTTTGGACTATTGTTAGGTTCAAATGAATCTTTTATAAAAACTTCATTCGTAGTAAAATAGTATAGCAACATGCATACTTGTCGTAATGCACGTACGTATTACACCTTGTGTATAATGTACCTATTGACCAAGTGTTAGCCATGAAGGCCATATCTTCCAGTTCTTCACTCATTCACTTATGTATTCATTCAGTTCATGTACTAAGGGCCTGTCCTAGGTGCTGGAGCTAACAGAGTAAGATAGACATGACTTCTAACATCCAGGGCAGTCTAGAGTGCCTGACGTGTCTAGGAACATCTTCATAGCTGTGTCTTTTTTGCTGCTTTTAGTATATAATAAAATTATTTTAAAAGTAACTCAAGGCTGGGTATGGTGGCTCACGCCTGTAATCCCAGCACTGTGGGAGGCCAAGGTGTGTGGATCATGAGGTCAGGAGTTTGAGACCAGCCTGGCCAATATGGTGAAACCCCGTCTCTAATAAAAATACAAATATTAGCCCAGCATGGTGGCACACACCTGTAGTCCCAGCTACTTGGGTGGCTGAGGCAGAAGAATCTCTTGAACCTGGGAGGTGGAGGTTGCAGTGAGCCAAGATAGTGCCACTGCATCCCAGCCTGGGTGACAGAGTAAGACTCTGTCTCAAAAAAAAAAAAAAAAAAAAAAAAAAAAGAAGTAACCCAAAATGAAGATGTCTTTCTAACTTTTTTTTGAGTTGTTCTATACTTAAGACATATTTTTTTATCAAGGAATACATCTCTGTCCATCATGCATTGGCTTTCATTTAAAATATATATTAGTAGTTTAGAATTATGTTTCAAAAGTACTTGCACATTATTTTTTAAATCAAAGTCACAAAATCTCCTAAGAGCAGAAAAGTGACTTCTGCTTAGTTTGTCCTATAGTCACTTATCCCTGAGCTTGTTGGTATGACACTAATGGATGATCACTCTCCCACAGAAGATTAGTGTGTGGGCCCAACACCATTGAGGTTGAAATCCAACCCATATGGAGGCTGCTTGTTAAACAGGTAACTGTTTTCTTTTCTTTTTTTCTGAAAAAATAGATTTCTGCCCCTTACTGCATACCTCCTAGAAGGAGCACATAAATACTTTGATGTGATTCATATCTTGTTTCATGCGACTTCTTTTGTTACTGCTTATTTTAAATTCAGATCTACTTTAAAATTTCTTCCTAGGGTGAGAGACAGATTCCTGCTTCATAATCTCCTGTTTGCTTTGTTTTTGTTCTCTTAAGTTTAGATGGTGGTTGTGTTGGTGGCAGTGGGGTGGCCTAGTCCATATGGGTTGCTATCATAAAATATCATGGACTGGTGGCTTAAATAACAAACACTTATTTTCTCACAGTTTTAGAGGCTGGGAAGTCCAAGATCAAGGTGCCTGCGTATTTGGTTCCTGGAGAGGATCCGTTTCTGGGCTTCCCGACTATTGCTTTCTTTGTGCCTTCACATGGTGGAGAGAGAGCTCTGGTCTCTTCTGCTTCTTATAAGGACCACTAATCCCCTCATGGGACCTCTACCTTCATTACCTCATTAAACCTAATTGCCTTTCAAGGGCCTGACCTCCAAATACCATCACACTGGGGGTTAGGGCTTCAACCTTTGAATTTAGCGGGGACACAAATGTTCAGTCTACAGGACGGGACAGTTATTTTTTCCATAATTTTTGAGGATTTGAAATGTATTCTTCTGGTCTTTTTCAAACTGCTTTATTATTTTCATTTTCTTAAGAGTAACTTCTCCCTTTGTTAGTGTTTCACTTTTGTTTTGTTTTTGACAATAGCTTCCTTGTATGCTTCCAATTTGTTTGGTTTTTTTTTTTTTTTCCTTACCTTAAGGAGGACATCTTTCCCATCAATTTTTCTCTTTCTCTTTGTGCTTGCTGTGCTTCTTTGATGGCTTTGTTTGCCTCCAACTGGCCCCTACATGGTCCCTGAAGGTTTGGGTGTTTGTCCTTTGGGTATTTGTCACATGCATGCCCTTAGCTAGCTTGAGGCTTGGCGCAGTTCACAGCTGTACCATGGACTCTGCTCTCTCCCATTTCACTTTGGCTGGTAAGCCCTCATTGGTTATTACTTTGCTCAACCTCTATTCTGGAACAGGAAGCCCACTGCCACCCCTGTTTTTCAACATAAGCCTCATTTCTATCTTCTGCCACCTGAGGGACACATTCTGTCTCTATTCCTCTGAGAAAAGAGCGCCTAGATTTTGCTGTCTGGTCCTTGTCTGGAACCCATGAATCTGATGATGTTAGTCCTCACTCAATGCTGCATGTTTCCAGTGTATTTCTAACCCATAAAGACGGTCATTTTGTTTTTGAGCATGGGTGTAATTTTTTTAATATTAAAAAAATATTTACCATTATTCTGTGTCTGGAGCAGAAAACAGATTGCTTTATTTTAACTTCATTTTTTTAGAGTAGTTTTAAGTTCACAGCAAAATTGAGCAGAACATACAAAGATTTCCTACATACATCCTGACTCAACATAGGTGTATTTTCTCTAACTATCAAAAAGTAGCCAGCTTTTTAAACTTCTTACTCAAATACGTTTTCAAATTGCCAAGGATTCTCCAGGGGTCAATTTGTTCTCTTTTGAAAGGAATGCTAATATTTTCTGGCACGTATTTACTAGCCCTTTAGTAGGAAAAAAAAAAAAGCACAAATATTTCTTTACAGTTGGTTTCAAACGAATATTAAATAGAACTAAATTAATTAGGATAGTATCGTTTCTTCTGCAAGTAGTATTTAACCAGTTTTCTACTGGATTTATTTAACCTCAAGATTGTATTATCATTTGTACATAACCTGCAATTCAAACATTTTATAATAAGCAAATAACAAAAGCTGCAATTTGTAAGTAAAGCAGCAGAGATTGAAATAATAAGAAACATTAAGGAATAAAATCTTTTTTAATGCACAAAATATACCCAGCCCTTAACACACCACTTACTAACCTATTTACCACAGGTCAGTTCACTTTTAAAACTAAAGTAGAATTATATTTAATACATAAGGGAATTATAGAAAGCAGAGGTAAGAGAGAGTGCCACTGGTTTTAAGCAATATTTCAGCTCTCATGGGCTCTTAAATTCACTTTCTATATGTATATCGAACCCTGTGACTTTTCTCTGGCTTCTCGGGTTTGCCCTCTCTGCTCCCATTATTAGCAGGAGTTAGCAGGACCCAAATGGGAAAAATTGAGGGAACAAAAAACTCTGAAGGTATTTTCCTGACACCAAAAATGTACATATATGAATGACCAGCTTTCGGGATGGTAAATACCTTCTTCCCATGATTTGTCCTGCAGCCTTGGGGAAGACATTTCTCTCCAGTCTTCCTCCTTGTTCAAGAGAAGGACTTGACTGACTCATGTAACCTTGCTAAGACCTGCTACGTGAAAGATGTGTTATTTTTAAGTGGCCCGAATAAAAAAGTAGAATCTTTCATTTTCATTGTGCAACTTGACTAAATCTGCAGCATGTGATTACATGAAAAATAAAACTGCAATTAAACTATTCAAAACTGAAGTATATTTTTAAAAGAGACTGAATCATGTACCTCCTCCATTATGAATAAACCTGTTTAAGAAGGTAACCCATGCAACAGTCCTGCATGATCTGCATATGTACCCCATAACCTAAAGTAAAATAAAACACACACACACACATAAATTTTGTTATTAGTAAAATATTTTTGAAATTCAGAATAAATAATGATCAATTTGTGGGAGTAGCTCTGAATCATAAAATAATTTGCTTCCACCATATCACATTCTATGTGTTTGACATTTTCTCAGCCCAAATCAACAGAGATCTAAGTGAATTCTTAAATATTAGAGGTTTTTGTATATTGTAAAAAAAAATGAGAAAAAATTCTATAATGAAATGACATCTTGTTGATTGCCACTAAGGTTCATGCAAGTGACTCAGATGCTATTTTTGTACTTGCAGGTTTTAAATCCATTCTATGTGTTCCAAGCCTTCACTCTAACTTTGTGGCTGTCTCAAGGTTACATAGAATACTCTGTGGCCATCATCATTTTGTCTGTTATCTCCATTGTCTTAAGTGTGTATGATTTGAGACAGGTAAGAGCTGAAATCTATTTAGCTTCTAGCTAAATAAGTAAAGCCCATGGACTTTCTACTGAGAGCCAGGAGTTGCTTTGTCACACATAGGTCATGAAACAAAAAGAGAGGGCTTACAAATGTGGGATTACAGAAGGAGGACCTTGGGACTATCAGGAAGATTAAAATGTTTTTGGAAACTCTGACTATCATCTGAAGCCTTTGCTGAATGCTTTGTTTAGAAGGAGTCTGGGCTGTATTTGAGTATGGTGGGAAAGAATGCTGTGATGGATTCATGATGCCAGCCATAGTTTTAGGAGAATGAAGGAGTAGCATCTCAACTATGTGCATTCCACATATTTCCCCGACTTAAATATTGTGTTTGTTCTATATGTTTCCTAGAAGTCCTTTATAATGTCTATATCTTCATTTGATATTCATGTACATCTTTAAGGAAATCCCAAAGAAATACAGAAATCCCTGTGAGGGAGTTAGGGGATGGGTCGTAGAAGAAATTAGGTTTGATTCTATACTCAATAAGACCGTGTTTTAGCAAGAGAATTTCCCGACATTTCTGAGCTTCTGACTTATTAAATCAAAATATCAAGGGTTGGAATCTTCATTTTTAAAAGTTTTACAACTAATGATTATTATGCATTCTGAAAGCTTAAGAATGATTATTATAAGGGAACCCAGTGAAGGATAAATTCGAACACCAAGATCCAGATATATGTATTTATTTATTAATGCCATCATCATATTTTTCACTCACTTTATTAAGTGCATCTATATATATATATATGAGTTTATATGGAGATTTATGTCTTTATTAATTTTTAAAATTAAAATAGGATCTTACTATGCACATTAATCTGGAACTTTCATTTTTCACTTTATATGTAATGGCAATTCATCAAGTAAATAAATAATTACCATTCATGTTTTAAAAATAATAGTATAATATTTTGTGATATAATTTATTCAACCATTCTGTTACTTGTTGAAAGTAATTTCCCTTCAATCTTTTGCTACCACAAATAATGTTGAATTAAACATAACTAAAGTACAGGCATGTTCTTACCTAATCGTGTTTGCATATTCTTAGCATAGCAACCAAAAGCCAGGTTACTGAATTGATGTATATTCTGAATTTTAATGGGTGCTGCTATATTTTTGTCCACAAATCAATTTTTTTCTCAGAAACATACAAGAGTATTTATTTCCACAGATTCATCAGTTTCTGGAGTTATATATTAATATTTATAATTTTTTAAATCTAATGTATTTAAAAATTGGGTCTCCTTGATGTTTTAATGTACATTTTCCTGATTGCTGGTGAGACTAGACACTTTTTTTGTCTAATAGTGTTTTGTATTTTCATTTTATATTAAGGGCTTCTTGATATTCATCATTTTTGTGAAAAAGTTTTACTTTTTAGTCTTTTTTTTCTTGACTTTGACTTAGCTATACTTGAAAATTTATGTAGGGTAAAATATGTCTCTCTTTTCCTTTATAATTTATTGTTTTGCTTATTAGGTCTCCCCTTCCAAAGTTAGGTAATACCTATTTTCTAATCCTTGTAACTTGCTTATTTAAAAATCCTTACTGGAATTTAAACATTCAGGTTCCACATCTTAACAGAATCTCTACACTCCTTTGTTGAAAACAGTGGCTAATATGGAACTTTAGACTTGATGGCAGTATTGTAAAGGATTTCTTTAAAAAACAGAAAAGGGATTAGAGGACAAACACTAATCTCATTAGCAGCAGTGTACCTAACCTAGCCTGTAAAGCACCTTGTAACCCTACACAAAATAAGCCAGTTTCCTGAAACCGTATATTTGCAATTTAAATCACAAGTCCTCAATCATCAACATCTGTTTAGCACTTTACAGTTTACAGTAGGCGCCCACATTAATAATGTATGTGTTTGTGTGGAACATGGCAAATCGTGTAATAAAACACACATGATTTTTACAGCCTCCTACCACCTGAGAGGGAGGGACAGGGACATCTGGGAGATAAAGGGACTTGTTCACACTCACCCAGTAACAGTGGCCAATAGACCTTAGCCCCAGGTTTTCTGATTCCAAGTCAGGTACCACACACTGTCTCACTGAGCACAATCTCAAAGTGACTCATGAATTTCCTTGCAGCAGTAAGACTTGGGGAAAAGCTTTGGCAGGAATGAAAGAAGTAGCATCTATTGCCATCTTCAAATCCTTCTGTTGAGCCACACTGAAGTTCATTATTTCATTGAAAGTCTTAAAAACACAGGCTTTTGAAAATTGTAAGAGAGTAAGTGATTGCAGGAGTAGAATAACATGTTTTTCTGCATCTACTGTGGCCTCAAATCATGCTACACAAAGAAAGCTTACCTTTCCTAAGCCAAGAAACCCTCCTGCTTCAGTCCCTTTCTAACAAGTTTGATGCAGGCGTGAGTGCGAACCATGGTACTTGACTGTATTTACATTGAACTGTATGTGCATACTGTATTGCTGAGCTCCACAGGCGGCTGCTAGAAATAGCATTGAGAGTATCTGGCCCACAGTTCTTTGCCTTCAGTTATGACTGAGCCAAGCTCAAGAGGCCCCTGAGTTAATACCCTCATTACTCATCTCTGGAGGAAGTCCAGCCACAGCAAACACAAGGACACACAGCAACAGATGCTGAACAGTAACAATATGCAAATTCATGTTAGAAACTGATCTTGGTCCCGCTGAACAGGGACAGAAGAAACTAGAGGGGGCCTAATAAAAATCAGGCAATGAGCTTTGCAGCCATGGCAAGCATTAGAGTGTTTACCTTCTCCCAGCTAGTTGGTTGCCATAGAAACCTGTGTTTGTAGATTTTCTGAGTACATTAACTTAAAGAGGATGCTAACATTATGCCACTCCAGTGTTGTTGGGAGAAGTAGAATAATTTGGTTCTAATAAATACATATTTGATGAGGGCCTACTATGTGATAGGCCCTGGAGGAATCCACAGATGCATAATATACAGGGTGCCTTTCTTCTCTCTACTGCCTGACTCACAAGAAACACCTGACAGGACAGCAGATAGCTATAATGGAATGTGATCAGTTAACTCACACAAGTGGAGAGAACAGAACAGTGAATTCTTCCTGGGGATTGCAGGGACCTAGGGAGTGGAGGTGACATTTGAATAGGTCTTTATGTGAAGGATTAGAAAGAGTTTGCTGGTAGAAAACTGGAGTGGACATTCTAGGGAATAGCTTGAGCAAAGGCATGGAAGCGTGACAGGTTATATAGGACGATAAGTCTAATAAACCAATCCAGCTCTACAGCATAATGAGTTTTGAGAATTACAGTCAAGTATTGTTAACCCATACTTTACCACTTCTAAATGTGTTGATTATCATCCTCTCATGCTAAGCTGAATTTATCATGGCATTATCTAAATGAGTTTACTAAGCCAAAAAAAACCCTAAAAAACAAAAAAACAAATTAAAGAAATCTAGAAGGATTTTTATCTTCTTAATGAAAACAAAAGCTGTTTTTAAGCACTAGAAGAACACATTCATCAACAGAAAAGGCTTTAGGGTCAGATGAACCTAGGTTTACTTAGTAAGTAAGTGATGGTGAGAAAGTTACTTTAATATTTTCAACCCCAGTTTTTTGGTTTTTACATATATGTTGGAGACAACATTTTCATCATTGAATTATTTTGAGGATTAAAGAAATCAAATACTGTAGTTCAAGTGCCTACAACAATGCCTGGCACATAATAACTGCTTAATGTTTTAAACTATGTACAAATAATAATGATTTGAGTCATTTTATATACCATATGTATTTCTTCTATGATGTCTTGTGGGTTTTAAATAAGTCTCTGACATGCCAAATACATCAACGTCATACCATTTTATAGCTTTGAGGTATAACTTGAAAGTGATCCAATTCAATGTTGTCTGTTTACAGAGAAAATGACTAACTTCTAAGGCACAATTTCTTATATACCCACATTACCTGGCTGGTTAGCGGTTATGTCTGACCTACAACTCAGAAATCCTGGCTGGCTCCAGTGGTCTTTGCCCACAGAACCACAGATGACTTTTCTATTATTATACATCATTAAAATGCATACCCTTGGCCGGGCATGGTGGCTCACACCTGTAATCCCAGCACTTTGGGAGGCTGAGGCGGGCAGATCACCTGAGGTCAGGAGTTCAAGACTAGCCTGACCAACATGGAGAAACCCTGTCTCTACTAAAAATACAAAATTAGCTTGGTGTGGTAGTTCATGTTTGCAATCCTAGCTACTTGAGAGGCTGAGGCGGAAGAATCACTAGAACCTAAGAGGCAGAGGTTGTGGTAAGCCAAGAACGTACCATTGCACTCCAGCCTGGGCAACAAGAGTGAAACTCCATCTCAAAACTAAAAATAAAAAAATAAAAAATGCATGCCCCAACAATTAAGCCTCAGGAAGTCACCTCAGAGCAATGAATATGCACTAAACAGTACTATCACTTTCTTCACTCAATTGGTCCAAATTACCAAAGTTTAGCTTTTCATCCAAAACTGAAGTAAATCATAAATTTTTCCATGTAAATATTAACACTTGGTTCATTATGTTTTCTCAAGGGGAAAGTTACATAATTATGTGTAATGCTTTTCTTAGCCTGGTGACATTTGTAACATTAAATATCACCAACAGAACAGATCAAAACAATTTAACAGTTAAAAGAAAAATAGTTTTAAATTTGAATTAAGGTGAATTAAATATTGTTGACAGTATTCAATCCACTTCTAGTAAAAGGCATCCAAGTCACAGATATACAAACAGTAAGAGGCAACCTCTCCCAGGGTTGGCTCAGTGTGGAACTTTCTCTCGCTGATGATGTCCCAACAGTCAGTCTGAGGAACTGCATGGATGAAATTATCTCTCACCTCTGACTTTCTGTCTCCTGTGTTATCCTCTAAGATGCTTTTTCCACTTCCATCTTCTCTACTTTTCACAGAGTTCTAACTCAATAAACTCTCCCACGCAAGTCTTTCCAGTTAATGTACTCTCACAACTGTTTTCCCAACAACTTTCTTATGAATCCCTAACAGTCACGAGCTCTTAGCATAGTATTGGGTATTATACAGAGGACTCTATAAGAATAAACTAACTTAAAACTTAACCCTATATTATAGATTCTATTATCATCTCCCCTTTCAGATGAGCAAAAGGGAGCTAAACAGGCTAAATAACTCATAAGCAGTGGCACAAGATTCACAAGTGAACAGTGTGACTCCCATTGGCAGACTTAATCAATACGAAAATCCAAGCTCCTGAAGAAGAGAATGGCTGTCCCACATCCAATCAAAACACAGCCTAAACATTCACAGAGACACTTACAAGCAGAAAGCCTTATAGAGAACATCTGGCTTTGTTGTTTTAAAGAGAGACAGAAGCATAGAGAGGAAAGTAACCTTCCCACAGTCTCATTCTTCTTCCGCCTCATTATGCACCTTCAATAACTGTAGCTTTGGCTTGTTAAAGTGAACTAAATATGGCCTGAGAAGGACTCCATACTTCTATATTTGAGTCCTTGTGGACAAATCTTAACCTAACTTAATAGTTAGACAAGATTGAAAACGTAACTTAAAAGTATGCATCTGTGGCTGGGCACGGTGGCTCAAGCCTGTAATCCTAGCACTTTGGGAGGCCGAGGCGGGTGGATCACGAGGTCAAGAGATCGGGACCATCCTGGTCAACATGGTGAAACCCTGTCTCTACTAAAAATACAAAAAATTAGCTGGGCACAGTGGCACGTGCCTGTAATCCCAGCTACTCAGGAGGCTGAGGCAGGAGAATTGCTTGAACCCAGGAGGCAGAGGTTGTGGTGAGCCGAGATCACGCCATTGCACTCCAGCCTGGGTAACAAGAGCGAAACTCCACCTCAAAAAAAAAAAAAGTATGCATCTGTAACAATCTTTAACTACTCATACAGCAGCCATACTTCAACCACTGCTACACTGCTGAGTGTTCAAACTGTTCAAAAAAGGCAAACTCCAACCTGTACCCAATCCAGCTGTTTCTGTACCTCACTTCCAATTTCTGTAGTCATTTCTCTTCTTGTTCTATAAATTTGTTCTGACCATCAGGCATCCTTGGTGTCTCTCTGAATCTGCTGTGATTCTGGCGGCTGCCTGATTTGCAAATCACTTTTTTTCTTCCTCAACTAAACCCCACTAAATTTAGTGTGTCAAAAGTTTCTTTTAACAGGTGCCCTGGCTTAGGTCCCTGTGCATTATTTTTTCTTGGGAGTGAAATAGCATTAAACTAATGAGCATATTTGCTGCTGCATGTAGGGGGTCAGGTGAGGTAGAGGTTGGAGCAGGGAAGCTGAAGCATCAAAAGAAGTTGAGTCCTTTGCCCAGAGTCAATGTAGCTGTGAGACCTGGCCTGGTAGTTACTATATTGAGATCATGTGGTTTTCAGAATATGAACTATCTAATATTTAAATGTTGACTTTTACTTGGTAGCAATCAGTTAAGCTGCATAACCTCGTGGAAGACCACAACAAAGTCCAGGTTACAATCATCGTGAAAGACAAAGGTAAGTGATGTGTTAGGCCATCTTCAGTATCTTGATATTTTAGGGGGGAATTGGTCTCATTTGTCCTTAATTATTAGTCAAGGAGAAAAAGTCTTTTCTGATTGAACCCAGGACCAGCACTAGGATGAGGAAAAGAAGGCCTCCAAGACAGAAAATTTAAAGAGGCAAGATGATGCCAGTGCTGACCCCACAGCTGCCTCCTTAAATTCTGTACACTACACATCTTGCTTGCCTTACCCTCGCCCAAGCTCTCATTCAATCATTCTTACCCAATGTCTGGGTTCCTTCAAATTCCCTCTCCCTTCATATGTCACTCAATTGAATAACACTGGGTAAACCTTCTTAAGGCTCCTTTATTTCCCAATCTAACTATCCCAAACAGACTCTGCATCACACAATTTGAACTATTATCTGGAACCTAGGCCTGAATGGGGCTTTTAGATAGCTGTCTGGACACCTGGCATCTGCTCTGAGCTAGCCAGAGGTGGGGTAGCTGTGGCTCTTTATAAAAAATGAGGAGCTGCACCCTGGGACAGCAGAAGTTATTTGGGCAATTTACATAAGGCCTCAATCCAAGAAGACAAAGTGTACCACAGGAATCAAAAACCTAGGCGAGAGCAAACAGCAGGAAGTTGAACCTCTGCACTGCCCAGGGCCCTTGTGTATTTGCTGTGGGCAAAGCACACCAGGTACTAGGATCAAGATGGGATCTTGTTGCGTAAAGAAAAACTGATCTTTTTCTGTGTCCCAGATACCAATTTCCTAATCCTGATTGTTTTGGAATTTTCAATTGAATAAAAAGAGGCTTCAACAGTTGAATAGGTAGGGTAGCTCTTGGCCAACTGGTGGATAGGGATTCTTAGCTACCTTCAATCTTAAGTGAAAACAAGAAGAGGTCAGCTAGTCACGGAAACTTTGCTTTGGTGTAGGTTTGGAGGAGCTGGAATCCCGTCTCTTGGTTCCTGGAGACGTTCTTATTCTTCCAGGAAAATTTTCATTGCCATGTGATGCTGTTTTGATTGATGGACACTGCGTGGTGAATGAAGGCATGCTCACAGGTATGGAGTTGTTATGAAGCTTCTTCTTCCCTGTCTGACATCTAATCAAATCAGCATACCCTTACCTACCTTGTACCAGACCCTTGCTAAGATATTCAGAGACAGATGAGGGAGACATAGCCAGCCTTTGCATTTATATGGAGACACAATATACACAAACAGAAAATGTTTAAGAATATAAGAATTAAGTCACAATTAATGTGAAACTAAAACAAATGTCTGATATGACATGTGATTAATTGACTGACGAGTGGGGTGAATAAAGTGTTCTGGGTTCAGAGGATACAGTTTGAAATTCAATCTCTTCCTAAATGTGAGAATGGTTTATACACATGTACAAAAGGGACACAACCTTAAAAACCATGATTCCCACAATTAGAAGGGCGTAGAGGTTTTATCCAACCCTGCACTCTACAGATAGAAAATTACTGAGGCCAAGGTTTCACTGGAAAGGAGTTTGAGTTGAGCCTTCTGGCAAAGACAATCTAACAGTTCTGTTATTTAGATTTACTTTCCTGCTGACCTCACTGAGCAGAAACCTAATCTAGTTACAGTTCAGACCGTCCTAGTTCTCTTTTCTACTTTGGTAAGTCTACTTGAATTTGTGTAATTAGTAAGGCACTACTTATAAAATATCCTTTAGGCAAAAAATAAAAATACACAGCACATTGTAATGAGAGAAGAGACTATACAGCCACACAAAAATAGAAACTGTTTGTCTTTTGTGCTCAAAGACTGTTTAGTTTTTCTGTTTCCAAGTGGTGTAGAGACTGGGAAATTTTTTTAACATGACCTAAATGTAGTGAGAGTTCATTCTCTCTCCCTAAATTGTTCAACACTAGCAGCTTTTACGTAAAAATGGGTCTGCTTAATTTAAAATTGAGATAAGGAAATGCAGTAAACATAAATATGTTCAGTATAATTACAAAATGCCCTTTAATGTGTTGAAATCTGTCCTATAATGATAGTGATGAGGATTCGCATACTGATCATCTTTTACCCAGAATGTTGCCATAGTATCCAACCTATAAACCTCAAGCCCAAGAAAAGCCATCCTTCTTACTCCAACACAGCAGCTGTCTCACATCTCTCAGCAGCCTGACAATGAAGAATGGCCTCTCTCATTGGTAACAGAGAGTGTGGCAGTGAGCAAACAGGAGGAGGAAGCACAGAAAGGCTCCCTGCCCTTGGGCTGCCCTCTCTCCTTTCACTGTTGGGAGTGTACAGAACTTGCCTTGATTCTCAGGAAAACTCAGAGAGTTCCAAAGTAGAAATGACAAACAATGCTGCCTTTCAAAAAATATGCAAAATGGACCCCAAATGATCTCAGATGACAAGTGGCTTTTTCTATTTCCCTTCTTGGAAAAATAAAGTCATCACCACTGATATCCATGTAACTTAAATACTGATAGAGGCCAGTTTCAGAGACAGACACATGAAGCAAAAACACATTATTTCTTCTGTGTTAAGTTGTTCAGAAAGATCTAAATCCCAGAATGGTCTAAATACTTGATTGCACAGCCTACATTGATCCTCCCACTCGTGTACATATTTGTGGAAAGGATCTTGATTAAACAATCAGAGGATTAAGGTTAGATTCCTGAAACTGCAAATGTATTCCTAGGGTATTTGTCCACAAATATGACTCGGGTATTTCTTACCTATGTATGCAATAGTCCTAGATAGAAGTCTTATATATGTAAGAATAAAAATATCAAATATTCCTGGCATCTCTATAGCAACTTACATTTTATAAATAACTTTTATATCTCACTTTGTCATGGCATAAAACAACTTAGACTAGGAGCAGTTAGGATACAATTTACAAATGAGGAGAGTGAGGTAAAAAGAACAGACCTGCTCAGTTAGCAAGTAAAAGGATCAGAATCGGAGCTGACATTTGCTCCCAAATAGAAAGGACCATAGACACGAGTAAGATAATTCTAAGCTGGATAAAGCTGCTGCCTTCATCTTCCTGCCTCATCACCTTTTTCTCTCTGCTCGGTGTTCCCATCAGTAGTACCCACTGTTTGGTAAGATCCTCTCCTCCTGTTCTCCTTGGCCCTATGCTATTGTCATAAATTCAGCTGTGCCAGTTTACTTTTATTTTATAACTACACTTAATTTTTATCTTGGCTCCAAATTTTGCCATCCTTGAAAGTGTCCAGTGTGAATATCTAATGTGAGTCAGACAGTTGTCCCCATCAGTTAGAAGGTCTTCTTCACCCCTGTCTGACTGTCCTAAGATGTACAAGACATCAGGGAGAAGGGTCCGACTGAGGGCGGCTCTTCTTCCTGCTGCTCCCACTCCACTCGGGGTCTGGGAAGCTGTCTGAGGCCTATTTACCTGGACAGGGAGGCAGATCCCAGTGCTGTTTGCATTGTTTCCACAACCTTATTGCATGTTCCCATATTCTACTGTGGCGAACGCCTCTTCTTTCCGGGACACATGATATCTAAGTCCCTTTGGATTCTCTTCCATCTCCCAGTATAAGGGCTTTAATTTAGCTAGAAATGCAGTAGAGGAAAGGCATGGTGAGCAGAAAAACTTTGTTCTTACTCTCAGGTAGTCTCTACAATCCATGAACAAACTCATGAAGGACTTATAAAACTCAAAAGCCAGTGATCAACTCCCTGGTGCTTCTATTCTGCCGTCTTTCCTGAAACAATGATCACCTTCAGATCTAGCTTCTCCCAAATGAGAGGAGTCAGGGGACAAAAGGGAATATCATTGGGGGAGATCTAATACTATTTAGAAATTATCTCTTGGCAGGAATCTAACCTTAATCCTCTGATTGTTTAATTAAAGCTTTTTTTTCTTAGTTCTCATATGTATTAGGCATTGTGCTAACATTTTACATCAACTATTTCATTCAATCTACAACTGTATTAGACTGGGCAAATCTGAGGCCCAGAAAGGGTAAGTAATTTGCCTAAGGTTACGCAGCTTAAAAGTGGGACAGCTAAGATTTAAATTTGTTTGTGAATTCACTCATTCTACAGGTATTTATTAGCCCGTACTATGGAGCAGGAATTCTGCTGGTGACATAGCACTGAATAAGGCAGATAAGATTTCTTCTCTTGTGGAGCTGATATTCTAGTGAGGGAGAGCGAAAACATTAAAACATACAAATGACACAAATTTTCAACAGTTCTAAGCTCTAGGAAGAAAATAGAAGATATCTATTGCCTTACTAAATAAATGTAATACCTAAATCCAGGCATTTTGTCCCCAGAACCTATACTTGTAGCCAGGGTTTCCTCATTCTCTTAGGGATAATTATGGCAAAGAGGGGTGGCTTACAGTCTGCCACAATCCCCTTCCTTCTTCTCATTAAGTTACTGATTTATTTGAGATGTATGTGGCAGAAGTGTGCAGTGACCCGAGTTGGACATGCAGGGATTTCTCTAAGTGATGATCTCACGTTGATATCCTGTCAGACAAGCTTATCATCAGTTGATAGGACAGATCTTTTTCTCTCTTCCTTTGAGCCTTTCTTCCTCTCTTTTTATCATCCTCCTTCTCCCTTTTCTTTTACTTGTTTACCCATTTATTCAAGAAAAGTGCAGAAATGCCTACTATGTGCCAGACACTGTATTGCATACTGGTGTCACTAAGTTAAATGAGAAATGGTCCCTGGCCCCAAAACATTTACAGTCTAATGGTTCTAGAACTATAAAGTAAAAGGACTTGGAATTTCAAACACTGTCACCATGAGGAAGCACCTTGATCCTTGCGGCCAAGGGAGAGAACCTCCACTTGACAGCACGGAGAGCCAACTGTACTGTTGATGACGAGCGACGATGGTTCTGTCCTCTAAAACTCTCTCCAGCTGCCTTGGACTCCAAGTCTTTTGTAGATGAATCATCTTTTCTTGGGCCCCAAAGAAGGGCCAAAATATGAGACTTCTTATTAATATGCAAATAGCATAAAAGAGACTTGAATACCATCTCTCTAAAATCATCTGGCTGTTATCTCTGGAACAAATTATCTGCAAATGACTTCCATTTCTGACTGATCAATATCTGACTGCTTCCAATTTCATTGGTTCTGTGTGCAGAAAATGGTTTGCTGATGTTAGCTTAAGTATATATTGTGGATTAATATTATCTGATTCAAAAGCAAAAAAGAAAAGGGGGAAATGATCTCGAAGTATCTGCCTCTTACAAAGGCTGATTTCAAAACAGTGTGTTACCATGATTTGGAGACTGTCAAAACATTCTAACCCTTCTATGAAGCCATTTAGAATGTTATTGATAAATCTACACAATGGATGAATGCCATAATCGTTTTAAAGAAAGTGGTATAGGAACAACAGCTTGGCTAAAAGAATTTCTTGAAAAATATTCAAGACCACTTACAACAATTTTATAGCTTCAAAACAGTATGTTATCATGATTTGGAGACAAGAGCAAACCAAATGATTGGTTTTTGAAAACCCAATCATAGAAAAACTTGGGTGTTTTTATTTAATTCATCTGTGCATTTGAAAAAACTATGTATTTAGATGTCACTAGGAAAAATGAAGAGTATACAAACTTATATATGCCAAAGTTCTTGTTCCCAGTTATTACCTAGACAGATGAGACCTACCTTGGTATAACTATGATTGATATAATACCATTTCCAAATTAGAAATATGACACATTATCTTGCTAATTGAACATTTAGTAAAAGACTAATGGAATTTTAAATTTATTCTAGTACTCTTTAAATCTGAGAGCCAAAAAGTATTATTAACATCTGTATTTTGTCTCTAAAATCTATCCTTTTGAACTCTGAGCTAATTTCTTTGTACCTTAAATATTCTGTCTTATAGCCAACAGGGAAAGGAAAGAAAATTGCTACCTGCAAAGAATGGGAGTCAATAAAAGGAAATGCAAGAGGCCACGTTGAACTGGAGCTTGTGTAGGAGAATGACAGGCAATGATGCTTGAATTGTGATAGGCTTTGACAATCTAGCAGTAGAGTTTGGCCTTTATTCAGTAGTGGCAATGGAAAAGCCTAAGAATTTTGAGCAAAAGAATGGGATGATCAAAGTGGGGCTTGAATGGGCTCCATCTGAAAATGATGTGGAGTAACTACTATTTTTTCACCTTCCTCCGTGAGCTTATGAGGGCAAGATTTCTGTCTTTCTTGTTGTTCATTATATTCCTAGAACCTAATACAGTTCCTGGAACAGAATAAGCACCTAAAAATAGTTGAATGAATGGGTGAATGAGTGAACAAATGAATCAATGAATGAATGCAAAGCAAACAGTAATTACTATTCATGTGCTGGAAAGCTCCTTCATTGCCTAAAATAGTGCTGGGTTTAATTAATACTTGGGAGAATGATTAAGTGATAATTCAGCTAAAATAGGCTGCTTTCAAAATTATGTCAATAAACCATCCAGGCCAGGTATAGGATAGATAGGGAGGTCTTACCTAAATATTTGCACTAGAATCAAGTCTACCATTGCTTGCACCACTAGCATCTCTATGAACAGTCATCTGACTCATGGGATGGGCATTAACACCAGACTAGTTGTGGTTTATATAATTTCTTGAAACTAGCATGCACCAGTTCTAACTAACTACCTGAGCTGACACAGATTCAACAAAATACAATCCTCTTTAGGAGAAAGTATACCTGTTACAAAGACACCACTGCCCCAAATGGAGAATACTGCGCCTTGGAAATGTCATAGCTTGGAGGATTACCGGAAACATGTCCTCTTCTGTGGAACAGAAGTTATCCAGGTCAAGCCCTCTGGGCAGGGACCTGTAAGAGCAGTCGTTTTGCAAACAGGTTAGTGGATTCCACTTTTGTGAGTTTAATTCATGCTTGAACATGGGGAGAGTTGGATTAGGAAAATTTTGTTTAGGATTATGGAGTTTGTCACATTCTGGTAGGAACAGAACACTTTTTTCTAAACAGACACTTATTATTCTAAAGTGTCATTGTTTTTAACTGAACGGTTTATTGTTAAAACCCTTCTATGCAATGAAAAGTATGTGTAGGTGAAGTAAAATTTGTCAAAGGTAAAACTATGCTCTTATTTTTGCTTATGACCATATGCTTCTTCTGTCTCCCTTGACACCTCCTCTGAGTGATTATAAAAAGTAAACAAATTCAGCCACTATGACTATGAGGATTTTTTTCCTTTCAAAGAGTCGCTTGCTAGGCTGTATGTCAGACTCACTAGTGAGGAACTCTACCTGGGTGTCCTACAGGCAAAGTCAATGAATTTGAAAGTATTCATCCTCCTGTATTGACTCTCTCTGTTAACGTCATCACCGTCATGCTGGTCTCTTAATAACATCTCTAACTCCTCTTATTTTCCCATACCAAATGTGGCACCAAATCTGCATGATTCTGCAAACACCTCCTGAGGCCCAGTCTTTTACATGACATAACACAAGGAAGGCCTTCTATGACCTGGTCCCAGCTCTCTGTTCTAACCCCTGAGCTGTGTTTCTGCCATCTGACTTATTCACAGATGCAAAATACACTTTACACAGTGATGTCTGTATGCTTTAGTTTGGTTTGTGATTTGGTTGTTCTAGATGATTTTTTAAAATTAAAAATATCTAGTTTTTTTAAACGTTCAAACTAGTTAGCAGGCACTAGACATTAGAGCCTGTTGTCTGCATAGAAGCTCATGGTTACAAATCATGAAAACCACCTGAATACTCATGAAATGATTAGGTAGCGGGTTAGAGAAATCTCTACTCTTTTCCTCAAAGACAGTAAAGCCATTTTTAGGAGACCAAGTGTTCATTAAACAGCCTTACTTGATCTGTGACTATCTTCATGCAGGTTACAATACAGCCAAAGGGGACTTAGTGAGATCCATCCTCTACCCTCGGCCTTTGAACTTCAAACTATACAGCGATGCCTTCAAGTTCATGGTGTTCCTGGCCTGCCTTGGTGTCGTGGGTTTTTTCTATGCCCTAGGGGTATATACATACCACGGAGTAAGTACTGGGGGTAAGGCTTTTCAATAGCATAGCTTCTGCAAAGAGCCTGACCTAACTCAGAAGGTTGGATTAGGTTATGTCTTGATCCTATCATTCTATGAATCAGTATTGTCCAAAAGAGCTTTCTTAGACAGCAGAAATATTCTCATGCCTAGTTTGTCCCCAGTGTTTAGGTAATACCTAAAACACCATGCAACCAGTGGGTTTCCCATGTGTTCTGGTTAGGGTCTGAAATGAAATCAAATTTCTGCTTTTACAGAGCTGGTACCTCACGAGAGATATCTACTTCTCTTTAAGCTACAGAGTGTCAGGTTTCATTTGAATGTCCTTCACCATAGAATGGTGGATGAGGAGGGAAGGGTTGTCACTAAAGACCTCTGAGGTCCTTTCTGGTCCTGAGAGTCTGATTTTTGAACCAGTCAGTCTCTATATAAGAAATGCTGGGATCATAGTAGTATGAGCTGGTAGGGAGGAAAAGAAAATTGTGAATAAAATATCCAAACAGGTGAAAAACTGTGTGAGTGGCCTAATTACAATGTCCAAATTGGTGGCATCAATGTGTGTGTGTGTATGTGTGACAGAGAGAGAGAGAGAGAGAGAGAGAGAGGTGGGGAGTGAATATTGACAGGGAAAGACAGAGTCACAAGAATTTCAAGGCAACGTTCATCGTTCATGCTAAAACTTAACTGCTGAGTAGTTATTTCAATCTGAAATAGCACCCAGGGAGTATTTCTGGGTCAAGGGAGGCCCACAATGGGGCCTGTGAGAGTTAGACAGAATGTCAAGGTCACTGGCGCTGGAATTTGAGGGAGTATGCCAATTTAATCTGAAGAGCAGGAGCACTGAGCAGAAAAGCAGGAAAAGGGCTCATGGAAGCCCTGGCAGTATTTGAGAATGAGGTTTCCTGGGAAGAACTTAACATCCAATACACACTGAAGCAACAAGACTAATAATCCCAGACCCCATCTTCTTGTGGGTCAGAACCTGTGACTCTGATGGCTGCCTCTATCTGCACTAGCTCAGCATTAGACAAGGCTGAGTCCTTAGGATCAGAACTGTTCTGTGTCTGTGGTTGGGGAAAGAAGGGAGTAATGAATTTTGTGATAAATTGAGATTGGGCAAAAGATGTCCCCAGTGGACATTGCTACTGAACTTGAATCCCATGTTTCCAATACTCAGAAGAGTAGTTATGGCTAAAATGATGGTTAATTTAACAAAAACATAGACAAGGTTGTAGAGGGTAGAACAATTAATATCTAGAACCTGTGAGGAAAACAAAACAATCAACCCTGTGATTTGACCTCAGCCCTGACCTTAACTGTGTCAGCCTCCTCTACAGACCTGCTGTATTAGTCTATTCTCATGCTGCTGATAAAGACATACCTAAGACTGGGTAAATTATAAAGGAAAGAGGTTTAATTGACTCACAGTTCCACATGGCTGGGGAGGGCTCACAATCCTGGTGAACGTGAATGAAGACCAAGAGAGCTTGTGTAGAGGAACTCCCCTTTATAAAACCAGCAGATCTCATGAGACTTATTCACTATCATGAGAATAGCACAGGAAAGACCTGCCCTATGATTCAGTTACCTCCCACTTGGTCCCTCTCACAACATGTGAGAATTATGGGAGCTACAATTCAACATGAGATTTGGGTCGGATACAGCCAAACCATATCACCTGCCAGGCATCCTGAGTTCACACAAATTGACTTTATAATAAAACATACTGGTCATGGGTTTGTACCCTGGAATCAGACAGACTAGAGTTCAGATTTTTGTCATTTACCTAGTATGTGGCCCTGGTAAAGTTAGTCACTTGTTAAAGCCTCAGTTTCCTTACCTGTTAAATGGAGAAAATAGCAGTATTTACATCATAAGGTTGTTACAGAAAGCAAGTAAATAATATATGTAGCCTAATACAGTTCCTGCTCCAGAGTTAGTACCCAATGAGAGCAAGCTAATTTTAGTATTGGCTTCCCTGTAGTTAAGAATATATGCTGAGACCATGGCAGCATCTTGGTCTTAGTTTTTAATCATATTGCCATTCATTCAATCTATGTACTGAGCACCTTCTCTGTGCTAAATCCCATGCTAGGCTCTGTATCTAGAGATCAGCAAGGGAGATCCAAAGATGAGTAAGCCATAGCTGCTGCATCCCAAGGAGTTTGTAGCCTAGTGGGGGAGAGAGATTTATAAACCAAAAGTCAAGCTTGGGCAGAGGGAATGGTATGTAGAGGGAAACTGAGCCAGGAAAGGGGATAGTGGACTGAGAGTAGGGATCAAAGGTCTCCTTTGCTCTGCAGTAGGAGATAACATGCTCATTCCTTTGGCACAGTCAAGACAATACTTGGCCTCACCAAGAGAGCCAACTCGCTATTAATATTTGGAGGATGAATCTCTAGAGCTCCTGCGGTATTGCAGGAGAAAGTTTCTCGGAAAGATGCCAGCCTGCTGCACTAGGCTAACCTGTATAAATGTCTCTCCTCTCCCAGATCCCTCCAAAAGACACTGTGACCATAGCCCTGATTCTCCTCACTGTGACTGTCCCTCCAGTGCTGCCGGCTGCCCTGACCATAGGCATCGTGTATGCTCAGAAGAGACTGAAGAAAAAGAAAATCTTCTGTATCTCCCCACAGAGAATCAACATGTGTGGGCAAATAAACCTCGTGTGCTTTGACAAAGTATGATCCAGACTTCCCAGGTTTAACGTTAATCATTTCAAGGCACAGTTGAGCCAGGAAGAACCTCAGAAAATGTCTAGTCCAGTGTTTCCCTTGTACTGATGGGAATGTTAAGGCCAGAGAAGGTCACAGAGTGAGCCAGTGCAAGATGACATTCTAGAAGCCTTCTTTGCTGACCTCTTAATATTAGCAGCTTAGCCACCATGTCATGAATTTTTTTTCTCTGTGATAGTTAATAATTTGTGTGCCTGGTTTGTAGGGGGTTTTTTCCCATCTCTTACTATAGTAACTTCTATAGTAAGAAGTTACTGGCTTTTTTGCCTGACTGGCTTTTTTTCAGGCAAAAAATATGAGGCACATTTCTGTTTCCTGAAATGCTTTACCCAGAACATAAGTGAATGTGTTTCCTCTCCTCCTCTGCTTCTTTTAAGGAAAGGAAGGAAGGAAACAATGACGCTGTCTATACACTCCTGCCCCTTTGCTCCTCCAGGGCTTATGACTCCAGGCTAGGTTGTTTCTGTGCTTAGGGACCTGGAAAGTTGGCAGAGGAGGCACATATGCCACATGGGGAAGACTGCTGTCACCAGGCAGGTCCTGAGACCCACCCCCCTGACATAACTCTCCTATGGGGAACCTGGAGGACTTCAGCATCAGATGCCTGCTGTAAACAGATCCTGCCCTCAACTTGGACAGGCCAATTTAGCTGCTATAAAGCATTGAGCCTGCTGGGTCCCTCTTGTCTTCAGTTCACATGCATTTAAATAATTTATTAGGGCTTTTGCCATTTTTTGGCAGAGAGCCACTGCTGTGTACAGTGCTGGTAGAGAGACCCATAATGAGTCATTCCTAGCCCTTGAGAAGCTTCCAGTCTAACTGAGAAAGTGGGAAAATGGGAGTGTAGATGGCGATCATGCTGTGAGATGTGTGTTTAATAGAGTTCTGAGGAAAGCATGGGGCACAGTTACCTGCCACAGGTTGGAGGCCATCTTTGAGCTGTAGCCTTGGTTGTTAGAATAAGCCCCGGGCTCAGAGGTGAGCAGCTGAGAAGCACAGGGGTAGAAGTGGCCCATGGCATACAGGGAGCAGACAGCTGTGGGGTATGGCTAGAATGTGGGCTGGTAGGTGGAGAATGAAGTTGGGGTGAGGGCAATTATTAAGGGCTTCATATGCCAAGCTAAGGAGTGGGTCCTTGTCTTGAAGCAGAATAGAACACTAGTGACATTTTTATAGATGTTTTATATCCCACCAAGGGCAACTGATGAGAAGGGATAGAAGGGAGATGAGATTGAAGAAAGAGGCCATCTGGGGACAACAGAAGTGATCATTGTTTGTTCCAGACACGGACAAGAATGGAGAGTAGAGGACAAATGGGAGGGACGCCAATGAGTAGACTCGACCAGGCTTGGTCCCCAGGTGAAGAGGGTATAGCTTTTAGATTATGTCAGTTCTCTTTCTGTTTGTGTTTTGTTTGGCAAAGAAAGTTCTCACCACCAGTCAAGAACTAACAAGGTTAACTTCATTTTAGATTTAGAGTCATATAACATCCCCTTGGAACGTTCTCTAATAATAGGGACTCCTGTTACTTCCTCATGAACCTCACTGGTGTGTAGAATACAGGAGGGAGATTTATGAAATATGTTCATTACATATTCATCTGTTTCTTTTTTCTATTTATTATTTATTTATTTATTTTGAGACAGAGTTTTGCTCTTGTTGCCCAGGCTGGAGTGCAATGGTGCAATCTCAGCTCACCTCAACCTCTGCCTCCTGGGTTCAAGCAATTCTCCTGCCTCAGCCTCCCGAATAGCTGGGATTACAGGCATATGCCACCATGCCCAGCTAATTTTGTATTTTTTAGTAGAGATGGGGTTGCTCCAAGTTGATCAGGTTGGTCTCAAACTCCCTACCTCAGGTGATCTGCCCACCTCAGTCTCCCAAAGTGCTGGGATTACAGGCGTGAACCATCACGCCTGGCCTGTTTGTTTCTAAAATTAATTTCCCCCCAGGCTATTCATTTTATTTCCTTTATAAAACCTCTCCCTCCTCATCCTTATGTCCTCATCTGCCAGGATGTCTGAGAGGCTGCTTTTAGGTGTCCTTGGTCAAACTCTGCAGGACCATGATGACATGCAACAGTGCAAAAAACTCTTGATTGAAAATTGGCAAAATGAGAAATCTAACCCAGAATTTGGCACTAAGTCTCTGTGTGACTTTTTAAGAAAAGAAGATTCAACCACAGTCATCTCTGAGTTTCTTTCCAGCTTTTACATTATAAAATTCTGTCACCATCATGTTGGAATAAAGCACTCTGCCATTAATTGACTTTTCATCTAGTGTCATTTTCCATTTCAGAGATATCTATCGCTGGGTTTCTGAGTCCATTTGTTCCCATATATATTTCTGTTTTCTATTGGTTTGTTATGATTTCTGTTAAGACAAGTTCTTTCTTTTTATTCAATTTTGCCCAAGCTTGGGCTTGTATTTATGCAAAGAGATTTTCTCTTTCTGTCTTATTCCCCTTAGAACCTCAATTTTAATGTTGTTTTCTCTCTATCTTGGGTAAGTTTTATTGTTTAGTGGTTATTTTCATCGAGAAACAATATGTTTGTTGCTGCAGTATCATCTCCGTTTCCATGTTCAAAAGATTGATTTTTAAAAACATCATCAGGAAAACATTTTAGTTTGAATTAAGTTGCAAACTCTTGTGAAATGCAACAACTCAAGGGGATTTGGAAATCAACCTTGGTGGGGTCCTTTATAAAGTGCAGAAGAGAAATGAAACAAAGAACCCGTTTTCAAAAAGTGGTTATTTAAGAAATAATTCATTCACGTGTGTTCCTGCCTTCTTTGTGAGGTTCTAATAGATGAATCAAACGAAACTTTCTTAATTCTTTAAACTAGAAACCCAGAAAGAGCTTTGTCTTTCCACATACCCTGCATGATTCACTTAACGTTTTCTAGTTTGGTAGAAGACTCCAGAAGGGCTGGATTCTGGTTCTGCCTTTCCAACCCACAGGCCATTATGACCTCAGGCTCTTCATTTCACCTCTAACCTGCCTCCAACTTGTTAACTCAGTTGTGAAAATGGAAAGCACTGTAAACACTTTGCAGCAAGGTATCATGCTAATGGATGTGCTGTAATGATGGAGGATGCGATAGAAAACTAGAAAATTTGGGCCGGGTGCGTTGGCTCAAGCCTGTAATCCCAGCACTTTGGGAGGCCGAGGCGGGTGGATCACAAGGTCAAGAGATTGAGACTATCCTGGTCAACTTGGTGAAACCCCGTCTCTACTAAAAATACAAAAAATTAGCTGGGCATGGTGGCGCGTGCCTGTAATCCCAGCTACTCAGGAGGTTGAGGCAGGAGAATTGCCTGAACCCAGGAGGCGGAGGTTGCGGTGAGCCGAGATCGCGCCATTGCACTCCAGCCTGGGTAACAAGAGCGAAACTCCGTCTCAAACAAACAAAAAAAAAACAAACAAAAAAAGAAAACTAGGAAATTCAGCATCTTCTATAGAGACAGCCTTAAAAAGCAGTGTCAGAAACGTGGGTTTTACTGTAGAAACAGGGTATTCTGCCATGCTTGATAAAGCTCAGGTTGGCCCTGGCAGTGCTGAAGCAGCTGTAGCCAACTCCACTTACTCTGGGTGTTAATCAGGCCTAAGACTCTTAGCCTACTGCATCAAGACACCAGAGTCTGTAATTAATGAATGCGTGTGAAGCAGTGAGGAAATTAAAAGTGCTGTGAGTACTCAGTTCCATTTTTCTTCCTCCGTTACATTATCTGACAGATACTCTCCCATAGTATGGCAAATCAAATCTCTGAGCTATTTTTCCCGTGATCTAACAATAAAACCCATTTTGGGCATTAATTAATATTTATTATCGGCACTTAATTTCTCTCTATAGTCTCAAAGCCCTTTATCAAGATTTCATTATCAATCTGGACACTCACTGTGTCACCCATATTTTTAGAAAATTACCGTGAACCAGATGGCAAACTGTGAATTGAACAGTCTTGAAAATAAAGAAAAAAAATTTCTGATCTCTGCTTTGGCAAGATAGCAGGTGCCAACTGAAAGTCAGACTTGAGCTGGTTCTTGTACTGAACCTCTCCCGATTAACATTAGCAAGTCATAGCAATGAACAAACCAAAACAAAACACTTGCATTGTTTTCCTCATAATTAGTAACTGAAATCACCTAATTATCGACATGGTCTTTTGGGGATCATTTATCACCTGCTTAGTTTTTCTTGTGGGTACTCATCTTTGATTTAAAATTTGGTACTTACAAACAAGGTATTTAGACTGCTAGATCTACTATAATCTCTTAAAAGCTTGGGTTTTGCTTAAATTACAATATAATTAAAAGGTTTAAATCTTATGCTAATATTGATTTCAATTTTTACTCAGACTGGTACTCTCACTGAAGATGGGCTAGACCTCTGGGGGACTGTCCCTACTGCTGACAACTGGTAGGCCTCTCATGTGAAGATGGAATGTGTGTTTGGTGGAGTCACCTGGATGATACTCAAATCCATCTTTTGGGTGTTAGTGGATGAATGTCCCATAAAATATACATAATAATTGGGTGGAACTAGTTCATAATATCTAACTTGTTTAATTAAATGAATTCTAATTTCAGAATCAGACAGGGAAAGTAGGTCTTCAAAATCTACATGAAAAATGGAATAGGATGAGGTAGATAACTAAGGAGCTGAATGAATAAGACAGAGAAAGAAGAGTGAAATGAAGACCATGCTTAATTAAAAGCTACCAAGACTTCCTGGGTGGCTAGTGCAGGCAGGTGTGGTGAGAAATCTGGAAATGTAGTTCACAGCCTAGCGGGATAAAAAGGTGCAAATACCATCGCCATGTATGTACCTATGCAACAATCCTGCATGATCTGCACATGTACCCCAGAACCTAAAGCACAACTCAAAAAAAATGTGCAAATTTGCCCAACTCTCATGTACAACGCAGGCCATAAAAGTTGTTACTATTAAGGCAGAAATGTCAGAATGGAGGAGAAATAGAGACTCTTTGATATAACACATAGTCCTGAATTTTATGTAATAACATGGTGGGTAAAGACAAATCAATTTTGAAATTTGGTGAATCAAAGAAAGCTACCTGAAGGAGATGGCACTTCAGATAAATTTTGAGGGACATGCGGCTAGAATTTTTATAGCTATGGACTAAAAGCTGGCACTAGGGAGGAGAGGACAATCCCACAGATATATACTCCAGAAAGAGCTAGAGAGGGGAAGCAGGGCTCCTGGAGGGTATACCTCCTCATGGTATCCACCCCTGACTTTCAGCTTCTTTCTACGGGCTAAGACCTGCCTTCTCAATTTGAGTGGTGATGGCCTCTGCTCTTAAGCCGTGGGCACCCCATTTTGGCTCCAACAGTGGCTGAGGCAGCCATCAGTGACAGAAGACACTTTTCAGGGATGCTCAAGATGATGAAGGGGGCAGGTACAGCATGGTACAAGGTAACAGCAGACAAGCAGTGTGATGTTGCAGAAGGTACCCTGGACTGGGTGGCAGAGAACACCTGAGCTCTAACGCTACTCACATATCTCTGCTCCTGGCTGCTCAGATGTCCAGCCAGCCCTTGGTCCAGACAGGCAAGGAATCTATTGGCCAGAGTAGTGAAAGAGAAAAAAGATGTCCACAGTTCCCACCCCTCCATCGTCCTCTCTTGTCCCTGGTACTCTGAAGCTTTTTGGAGGGTAGAAACAATTAGACACAATCACTGTTCAGCTGTAAGGTGGGAGGAGAGGAAGATACACTATGCCAGTTTGTATTCTCAAAGAGAAAAAGAGGCTTTAGAGGTGGTATGTCCAGGGCGCTTCAGGAAGTAGGGGCAGTCTCTAAAGTGATGAGTAGTGAGAAATGCTTCCACGTCCATGCAGCCTGATTTCCTGCTCCCTAAGTAGCCCTACAGAATTCTTGCCAAGGGTGCGTGACTTTTTGTGGACAGCTCTGCAGAGTTTGCAGGTATGACTCCAAGCTGCCTGCTGATGTGCCTTCCTGTGATACTGCCATTATGTGGGCTGGCTTCAAAATCGCATGACAAAAGTCGCTGCAATTCTATCCAAAGCCTCTGAAACTATGTTATTGATTGGCCAGTGGCAAACTCTGTTGAAAAGAAAATTCATATCCAACTCAAAGAAATGTTTTCATAAAGATTACTCTGTAGGCAAAACACCCTGTTTAAAAATAATGAAACCAAGTGGGTAGGGGCTTCAGCGCAGGGAAGTCCCTGGACAAGCATAGCAGTAGCAAGAAGTTTAATCTGGATCTAGAGTCCAGGGTATAAAGGACGTTAGTAGGAGTGGGCACTGTAAGGTAAGGTAGATGCGAAGTGGACAGGACTTTCAATACCAGGCTAGGGGGCTTGGACTTTATCATATGGAGCATGGGAAGCCATGGGAAGGTTCTGAGCATGAACGTTAAGTGTCTGGAGCTCTACTTTAGTAGGATTTAAGGGATAGAGTATGCAAAATGATTTTATGAAAGACTTTAATGTTACCTTCTCTACCAGCTTCCAGGAAACCCACAGCTTTGCCTTGGGCCAGGCTTTGCCATGGGGCTCACTGTGTGCAGCCATGGCCAGCTGCCACTCTCTGGTTCTCGTCGATGGGACCATCCAGGGAGACCCTCTGGACCTCAAAATGTTTGAGGGCACTGCCTGGGTAAGGTGATAGTTTAATGCAATGATGAGAACATGAAGAAATCTTTACTGGGAGTGCTGAAGCTTTTCTAATTTTTGTTAAAACATGGAGAAGATTCATAATAACGTATGAATGAGTGTGTAATGCTACCAGAATTTCCCAACCTCTGCCCCACAGAACTGTGTTAATGGGTGCAGCAGGAAATAGGCATCCATTATTGAACACACTTGGGAACTGTCGTTTAAACAAAGTTAAACTCATTTCTCGACTGCATGATTTCTTTAATGTACTGTGGTGCTTTGTGGATATTCAAGAGGGGATATGAAATGCAGCATTTACCAAACCTATCTGATCTCAAAAACCTTATTGACACCCATAACCTAGCATGTTCTCCACAACATCATCGTTTTCCAAAACACTATCAAGAGAAACAGTAGTCTGAACGGTGCTCTCCAGTATAGCAGCTACGAGCCATATGTGGCTACTGAGCCCTTGAAGTGTGGCTATGCAACTGAGAAACTGCATTTTGAATCTTATTGAATTTTAAGTAATTTAAATTTATAGAGCCACAAGTGGCTGGTGGCGACTGTATATTGTAAAGCACAAGTCTAGACACCAAACTGGAGGGCTGCATTCCAACTGGTTCAATCTCCTGAGCTGAGTGTGAATGAGAGTGGAAGGGTATAAGCCCACACTGGAGGCTGCAATCGTGGAAAACCTTCATTTCACCACTCTCCAGCTGTGTGACCACAAAGCCAGAGCCCAGCCTGAGTCTGTGACCTCATCTGTACATTAGGGGTAATAATGCCTCATTCACAGACTTGTGAGCACTGAGACTATGAGACTAAAGCGGCATTGAGTACAATGAAGAGCCAAACAGGTAGAGGGTGTTCACTCATTAACCAGTTAGTTAATTGCATCCTGCTGCCCTCCAAAGAACAGCCCGAAGCTACGGACAGTGCTGTATAAAAGACAGAACAGCAGTTAAACATTGCTGCATAAGAATAGAAACGAATGATTACAGGGAAACGAAGCACACCTAACAAACAAGCTAATACAAAGATACATAATAAAGAAATTTTAATTTTCTCGCAGGTAAATCAATGAAAGAGGAAACCTAGTAAAAAGGGAAACCTCTGATATCAGTAAGTTAAAATAGAGCATTTGCTGTGGAAAATATTTTGACATAGTGACCAATTCCCTGCATTTTAATGGAGAGGAATCAGTGTACTTACTGTAAGCAATGTCCTCGCCAGAATCATTGGGACTGACACAGTAATGAGTTGCACAGGATCATTTTATATCTGGCTTTAGTCCTGGACCTAACTACATTCCCCTCTCCATTACAGGAAGGTTGATCTATCTTTACAAATGCCATACTTGTTTGGAAATATAAATCTTTAGTGTTATCTCTGAAAGAACGATCTGTAAGAATAGTTGTATCCATCCTAAACAAAGCATAAAAATGCAGGATTATTCACTGAGTTTAGAGCTGAGTCAGAAGCTGTCTTGAGTCGAATATCTTTTGGTAACTGGGAACCTTCCAATCCACGTACAGAGGAGGGACACTGTTCTTTTAGACTCTCAAGAATGTTAGCATTTGAAAGGATGTCAGAATATTTTTCAGAAGAAATCGATACTAGAAAAATGAAATGACGTCCCCAAGATTGAACAGATAAGTGGCAGAGTGGAAACTAGACTATCTCCTGTTTCCTGACCTCTACTATTTCTATGCATGACTGCCTTTCCCATATTTTAATATTGGTTAATATTGGCTTCTCAGAGGTATTAACTTCTGTGGTAATATCAAAAGAATACAAGCCATTTTCAAACAGGCTTTCTAATTTGCCAGCAGTGAACATTCTAACTCCCTAGTTAACTCAAGTAGGCTACCAGCATAGGTATAGTATGAAGAACTAGTCTCATGTTTGTCTCAGGACCCAATCCCAACTCATCTGACAGCCATGGTGCTCAGCAACATTGGAGAACACAGCTCCACACAATCCCTCCTCCAGTTACTAGCTGTAATCATTTAGAAAGATCCATGGACCTGTAGCTAGCACTTTTTCCATCAATTACTTCTTAAAATGAATTCACAATATTTTTGGCTTTTTTCATTCTAGAATAAGGCCCTTAATATGAATCGACACAACAGAAATTTGACAATGACAATCTTAACATAATTGGGCTGGAAGAGAAAATACGTTAAAAAAAGGGCTTTGAAAAGATTATTGTGCAAATAAGAGGTATTTCTTTCTTACTATTTTTCTTCAAAGAATCTTATAAATGTTTTCATTTTATACAGAAAATGGAAGATTGCAACATAGACTCCTGCAAATTTGGGATGTCAAATTCAAACATCATAAAGCCAGGACTAAAAGCCAGTAAGGTATTATTTCCTTCTTTAAATCACATAGCTCGTTCCGCATAAAACTGGTGAAAGATTTCTGACTTTCACATATTTTTCTTGGTCCTATTATTTTGTCTTATCCCGACACTTTCCATGGTTGGTTTGCTCTTTCTTTCATTCCTGAATTTATCTATTAATTTATTCGGCAAACACAACCTGTGTATGCTAGAGCATCGTGCTATGTACTAGCAGATAAAGAGGTTTCAAAACAAGACACACTTGGCTCTGGATTGGAGGAACACATAGACGGGTAGAAAAATCAATACAAGTGCAAATAAGTGCAACACAATGTGCCAAATTCTATAATCAAGGCTGAAGGAAGAGCTTCAAGAGTCCTGACATGGGAGGGAATACTGTTTCTGGGAGATAAAAACACTACAGAGGAGATGACCTGTGAGCTCGGCCTGAACGGTGATCAGGATTTCTCCAAGGGAAGGTCCTTGCAGACCAGACAACTTGTTGAGCAAGTCGCTTTAAGGCAGCAAATAAATAAATAAATAAAGTGACAAATATAATCCATCAAGATATCTCTGGCCTCGCTGCACAGTAAGTTTTTGTTGGTATGCATTTGGAAATATCTCTTAGCCGCCTGTTCAGCTCCCTGTTGTTGATGGGCTTGCAGAGTCCGATAGAAGCCATCACCACCTTGCGCCAGTTTCCATTTTCCTCAAGCCTGCAGAGGATGTCCGTGATTGCTCAGCTAGCTGGGGAAGACCACTTCCACATCTACATGAAGGGTGCCCCAGAAATGGTGGCCAGATTCTGCAGAACTGAAACAGGTACTAACACTTACCTTTTTCAATAAGTAAAATCCTTTTTTTTTTTGAGACAGAGTCTTGCTCTGTCCCTGAGGCTGGAGTGCAGTGGCACAATCTCAGCTCTCTGTAGCCTCCACCTCCTGGGTTCAAGTTGTTCTCCTGCCTCAGCCTCCCAAGTAGCTGGGATTACAGGAGCACACCACCATGCCCAGCTAATTTTTGTATTTTTAGTAGAGACGGGGTTTCACCATGTTGGTCAGTCTGGTCTCGAACTCTGGCCTCAAAGTGATCCACCTACCTCAGCCCCCCGAACTGCTGGGATTACAGGTGTGAGCCATCATGGTCAGCCAAGACAAAATACATAAAGCCAACAAACACAGAAAGCTTTGCAATCAATGAATGTGGAGCTGCTTGTTTCCTGGGTGGGTAGAAAGTAGCCCAGTAGATCCTAGTAAGCAGGGGTGAGAATTTCAAGCCGGTGGGTAGCAAGTAAATATCTGGCAATGGGTGCAGTAAGAAAAGTACAACCACAATGGGGCATCTGGGAAGGAGATGAGATGTGAAGCTTGTATCAGGAGCCAGAAGAGGGAGCTACTGAGGGCCAGAGAACTAGGGGAGGTGTAAATGAGGGAACCGAAGGGAGAGGTCTCCATGCTAGGTACGTTCTGCAGATATGGCTACTGTGTCACCTCCAGGGAGGATCAGATAGATGGATGGGGGAAGACTATAGAAAAGACAAATATCTTATAAATAAAAGTGATTAGAGTAAATTCAATGGTAGTAGAGCAAGATAATCATTTTCACAGCAATTTCATCTTTCTGGGCCAGATTTTGAGCTGATTTTTATTGCTTTTTTGTCTTATAAACATATGTACTCTTTAAGCGGCAGCCAGGATTTTAAGAATATGGTTGCATTCAAATGAGTTCATTTGGATAAAATTGGTCTTTTTTCATCTGATTTTCATGTGACTTTCCTTATGATTGCTGATGGCCATCAACTTGTGCAGAGAATTCTAGATTTGACAAATGATTACTTTAACTTCTCTACTGGGAGTCTTTTTTAACCCTTAGAAGTAGCCACTTTTCTTCTGACTTCGATCTTCAGCACAGCTCTCATTGACTCTGTCCTTCACTAATTACAACATATACTGTGTTTGTTTTGTTTCAGCTGCACAGCTACAATTGAGCATCTTCTTGACATTTAAACTGGTATCTATTGCCTCTGCTCTCTAAGGATTTGGGTCTGTCACTTGGCACTCATTTTTCTGGCAGTGCTTTCAACTCTTCCTGTGGTTCCAACTTCCAATCTTGGACTTATGCTAATACCGTCTTCAGTGATTTCCACCACCACCCTACCCCACTTTTAGAAATAGCAAGCTAAGAACTTTGAAATTAGTTCCCAACCTCCAGAAGTGTTTTAGAATTACAGAAAGTCTGAAATGAATGGAGACAGAGAGATCTGGTAACTTCTCATTTTATGGATGAGAAACTGAGATGCAGAAGAGAGACTTAACATGACTAAGGTCCACATGGAAGTGGAATGGAGAATAGAACTTAGTCTGTTTTCCACCTAAGCTACTGTTCCTCCCATTGTTCTGTGGTTCCCTCTGATACCCTTATAGGTGCGTCATAAATCATAAAGATCTTATAAACATAGTTTTGATTGCCACGCTAAAACATACAAACATTGGCATTGTGTCATCTTTTACCTAAAGCAGGAGTTGGCAAACTTTTCTGTAAAGAGCCAGATAGTTCTTATTTTAGGCTTTGCGAATCACATGGTGTCCATTTCAATTACTCAACACTGTTACTGAAGCCTCAAAGCAGCCATAGATAATGAACAACAAATGGGCATGGCTGTGTGTCAGTAAAACATCATTGATAAAAACAAGCTGTAGACTAGATTTAGCCTGTGCACTAGTTTTTTGACCTCTGATCTAGAAGATCAGCTGTTTCTCTCATTTTATCCAAGTACCCATAGTCCTGAGGTCTGTTCTTAATGAACCTACTTGGTGTATTTGACACCCAGTTTGTCTGAGTCGGCTTATGCTGTTATAACAAAATACCATAGATCGTGTGCTTGAACAACAGAAATTTATTCCTCACGGTGCTGGGAGCTGGAAAGGCCAGGATAGAGGTGTTGCCCAATGTGGTTCCTGGAGAGGGCTTCCTGGTTTGTAGATGGTTGGCTTCTTGCTGTATCCTCACATGGTGGAAAAAGATGTGTTTCCTTAGGGCATCAATCCCATTCATGAGGGCTCCACCCTCATGACCTAATTACCTTCCAAAGGTCACACCTCTAAATACTATTGCATTAGAGATTAGGCTTCAACATATGAATTTTGGAGGGACATATTCAGTCCATAACAAAGTAGATGACCTCCACAGCTTTGGCATTTATTTGCATCAGAATAATAAGAACACACTGATGAAGTTGTCTGTGTCCTTTAGCTGAAGCTCTAAGTTTTCTATTAAAGCACTTTCATGGAATGAAAGTTAAAACAAGGTAAAATGACTGCGTCCTGGAGTCTTGCTTAGACCAACCTTCAACATGACCTTGCACTTACCTGTTTCTTCTACTCTGACAGTGCCCAAGAATTTCCCACAGGAGCTGAGGAATTACACAGTGCAAGGCTTCCGTGTCATTGCTTTTGCCCACAAAGCCTTGAAGATGGGAAATCTTTCAGAAGTGGAGCACATAACCAGGTAAGGAACTCAGAAATTGTCACTAGAGCAGGCTCTGTGTGCATGAAGTGTGAGTCCTGGAGATGAACAGTTCTAATCACCTGGAAGACTCTTAGAGATGAAGAATTAATCTTGCACAGTCCCCTGATTCAGAGATGGACAATTGTAGGTGGTGCTGAAGAGTACTTGCTCAGGTCATAGTGCTGGTTGGTGGCAGAGCAAGGATGGTACTTGAGAGCTCTGACTCGAAGATACCAGTGTGTTATCTCTGCTTGGCACTATGTTATGCCAACTTTAGTCTCAGCTCTCATTCCATCAAAACAACCAACCCTCCTTCAACCTCAGAGCATTATGTGACCAATTGACTTGGGTATCCAATACACAGAGGGGTTGAGAAACGGAAATAGTTGGTACGTTGAAACATTTTCAGAATCCTTCAGACATGTTTTTTTTTCAGTACTCAATACTACAATACCTCCTTTGTATCTGTGAGGTAACAAGTGCAAGGTGAATTACTTATGAGAAATAAAATTCAGTATTCTTAATTACATTTTTACTGGGATAAGTTGTCCTCATTAGAGAATAATTTATAAATTATTTTTTGTTTCAATGTTCTTCAGTTTTTAAAGGCTATTTTAAAATTATCTGTGACAAAGGAGTAAAAAATCCTATGGAAAATTGAATAGAAGACAGTCTATTTATTTCTTACATTGGATTTGTGTTGCTGACAGATGCCTATTTATATACAGCTAGCCACTTCACGTAAAATACTGATATCCTCGGTTTAACATTATTATTTGCAAGCTAAGTCCATTAACTCTAAGTTAATTAGTAAACATAGTCCCTTCCTTACTCTGTGCTTTTTTTGCCATCTATAAAATATGCAATTGGATGATCTCCAAGGAGGCCTTCAGCCATGACATTTTAATATTTGAAACAGATCACAAAGCTCATTTTGAAATATATGAATGGCATTCTCAGATTTAACATTCCAGGTGTTAGCTATTCTTGAGCAAACATAAAGGTCCAGACCATATAGGATTTGTAATTTTTTAAACACAAATTTGAATAATCAACATTAAGGACATGTGTGAAGAAAAGATCTATGTAGCTAGCGATGGAGTGTAGCCATCACGCAGCTGTCACATACAAATGCAGCTCTGGTGTTCACATATAGGAGCCATTAGTGGGATAGACATTATTATAAATATAACAAAATAAGAAAGTGAAGATAAAATGTGCTAGATTTTCCACCATTCCAGGTTTTTTCAGGGAATATCAGGAGCCTATTATGTTTCTTAGAATTTAGTTACTATTTTCAAACAGGGTAAAAGGAAAGGGTTTTGATTTTTCTTAGAATCAAATTCTATTTAGCCAAGTTTTCAACGAGAAAAATTTAAAACTTCCTAAAAATTGGAGTCATAATGCAGAAGTAGAATAGTTTCTTGAGGTGACTTAAAAAGTCGCCCCAAACTAAAACAACAGGAGAAACACTTCATCAAGGGTCACCCCTTCATTGGTTTAGCAAATTTGTATTGAACTTAACTATGTATGAGTTGCTCAAAGAACTGAGGATTTATTTGGAAGTGAATAAAATAAAATCCTTGCCCTCACGAATCTTATATCCTAGTTGGGGAAATAGATAATAAAATAAACCCATAAAAGATTGTCCCACTAGTGGTTCTTAAATGACCTGAGGGGGGAAAATATAAAGTAAGTTAAGAGGACTTTTTAAAAAAAAGACAGAGAATGTCATTTTGCTTGGGCAGTCAGCAAAGTCCTCAGAGGAGCAACATTGTAACAGACATCTAGTAAAATAAGAGAGCAAGGCATGCAGATATCCAGAGGAAGAGCATTGCAGGGAATAGAAATGGTGGGTACAAAGGCTTTGACATAAGCACTGCTGGGAACGTTGTAGAGTACAAGCAGCCGAAGTGCCTAACATAGTGACCAAGAAGAAGGATCGTAAAATAGAAACAAAGAACATTTATCTGTTTTTGCTTTTGTTGCCTGTGCTTTTGGTGCCATAGCCGTGAAATCTCTGCCAAGACCAATGTCAAGAAGGTTTCTCCCTTTGTTTTCCTCTAGTAGCTTCACAGTTTCAGGTCTGTGTTTAAGTGTATACCATTTTGAGTTGATTTTTATGTTTGGTGTAAGGTAATAGTCCAATTTCATTCTTTTGCTGATGGATATTAAACTGAAAAGCTTTGCATAGCAAAGGGAATAACAAAGTGAAAAAGTAACCTATAAAATGGCAGAAAATATCTGTAAACCATATATCTGATGAGAAATTAATCCAAAATGTATAGAGGACACAATTCAATAGCAAAAATCAATAAATAACCCAATTTAAAAATGAACAAAGGCCCTGAAGGGACATTTCTCCAAAGAAAACATACAAATGGCCAACAGATATATGAAAAAGTGCTCAACTTTACTAATCGTTAGGGAAATGCAAATCAAAACCACAATGAAATATCACCTCATACCCCTAAGGACGGCTATTTGAAACAAAAACAAAAGAAAACAAGTGTTGACAAGGATATAGAGAAATGGAACCTTTGTAAAATGGTACAGTTGCTATGGAAAACAGTGTGGGGGTTCTTTAAAAAGTTAAAAATAGAATGACCATATGATCCAATGAGCCAAAATCCCAATTCTGAGTATATATCCAAAGGAACAGAAATTGGGATCTCAAAAAAAGGTATCTTTACCCTAGAGTTCACTGCAGCATTATTTATAATAGCCAACATATGGAAACAACCTAAATGATCATCAGTGGATAAATGGATTTTTTAAATTTAGTATATACATATAATGGAATATTATTAAGCCTTATAAAAGGAGAAAATCTTGCCATATGAGACAACATGAATGAAACTGAAAGACATCAGTGAAATAAGCCAGTTACAGAAGGACTAATACTGTATTATCCTACTTATCTGAAGCATCTGAAATAGAAGAAGTAGAGAGTAGAATGGTGATTACCAAGGGCTAGGGGGCGCGGGAATAGGAAGTTGTTGTTAATGGGTATAAAGTTTCAGTTATGCAAGATGAATACATCCTAGAAAAGTGATTTTAATGTGCATGCACACACACATGCAAAACAGGGCAGAAGGAAATTATCTGAGGTGATGGATGTTTATTACCTTGATTACGGTAATGGCTTCACAGTGGTATGTATATTGTTCAAATCTATCTCCCTGTAATCTTAACACCATAGTGCACAGAAAAATGAACAATGAAAGATCAAAAAAGAGTTCTTGGCCCCCAAATTCACTTATTAAAAAGCCACCCAAGATTCATTCCATTTCAGAGGACAAGTCCTGTGTAACTAACGTAACCCAGTTAGACTTAAGCCACCAATTTCAAATTCTGAAAACTGTTCAGAGCCCTGTCTGATGTCAATACATATTATTGAAGGTGACAGAAAGAGGCTAAGATGAATGACACCATATTCAACTACTACTGTAGCATCTTGTATGTATGCAGGATGTGCTTACTAAATGCCAAATAAACTGAAACAATTGCAAGCTCAAAAAAGAGAAAGCTCTGAGAAATTAAAAAATAAAATATATTTGATTAACATAATATTTAAAAACCAACAGAAGAGTTGGAAGATAAGCACACTGTTTTTAAAAATAAAGTTGAAAACTGGAAAAAACAGATTTAGAAGTGGTTGCCTCTAGGAAGGAGACAGGCGAGGTTGTGTGGAGACACAGACTATTGGTTTTCATTATAAGCTTTTAAGTTCATTTTGATTTTTAAAATGTGCTGTATTACATTAATAAAACTTATAAAGAAAAATTTAAAAGAAGAAATAAATTGAACTATTGAGGCTACATAGATATACTTTAATATTGATTTTCTCCTGAATCCAAAGAGAAAAAGTGGAGTCAGAGTTAACATTTCTGGGACTTCTCATCATGGAGAATCGCTTGAAAAAAGAAACTAAACCAGTCTTGAAGGAACTAAGTGAGGCCTGTATCAGGACTGTGATGATTACAGGTATGTGTTTGTGTCCAGGGGCCGGGCAAGTTGATTGCATCCCAGGCATAAGAACAAGCTGTGTGAGCCGAGTGAGTTCACGTGACAGAGACAGAGAAAAATGTTCTGTTGTCAAATTTGTTACCCTGTAGTCCCTTACCTGAAAATATGTGCAGCTCCCCTGACAGGACCAGAAGCTTTGGCGGTAGAGACCATATCTCATTCTCTTAATCTAATGACTACCCCTCCTAGCCAGGATCTGTGCAGTACCTATAGGCTCACTGTAAATGAGCGAGAATGGGTATGTTCTCATCAAGAGACCCAATGATCCCTCTGCATAAAGGATTGAGTCTCTCGTTGATGGTCCTCTAGGGCAGGAAGACCAGGCATGGTGTATGACAATCAAACACACGCACAGCCTGACCCTGTGTGTTCTTTGTTGGTTTCTAGATCCCATGGATGGTTTTATGCTAGCAGACTGAGTTCATACTATATTCATCACTATGTGTTGTCTGTCTTCTGAAGATTACTCAGATGTTTAAACATTTTTTTATTTATTCATACATGTTTTAAAATACACAAAGGGGCCAGACATGGTGGCTTATGCTTGTAATCCCAGCACTTTGGGAGGCCAAGGCAGGCAGATTACCTGAGGTCAGGAGTTCGAGATCAGCCTGACCAATATGGTGAAACTCTGTCTCTACTAAAAACACAAAAAAATTAGCCGGGCATTGTGGTGTGCACCTGTAGTCCCAGCTACCTGGGAGGCTGAGACAGGAGAATTGCTTGAACCTAGGAGGCAGAGGTTGCAGTGAGCCAAGATCACACCACTGCACTCTAGCCTGGGCGACAGAGTAAGACTCTGTCAATAAAAAAAAGAAAGAAGAAATACACATTGACAAGATATGATGCTGAATATTGTGAGAGGGAGATGGGAACATAGTGTTTGCCCACTAGGGGCAGTCTACAGCATGGAGGAAAATAAAATAAGGCAGAAAGCAGTAAATGCCACCAAAGAACACTAAGCAAAGTGAGAAAGGGAGACCTCAATTCTTGTTGCTGAGGGGAAGTTTGTACATAAAGCAAGCAAAGTTTCCTTGTCTTCTAGGTGACAACCTAGAAACGGCCATTACCATTGCAAAGAATTCTGAAATGATCCCTCAAGGCAGCCAAGTGATCATTGTTGAAGCCAATGAACCAGAAGAATGTGTTCCTGCCTCTGTGACCTGGCAGCTGGTGGAGAATCAAGAGATTGGACCCGGGAAGAAAGTGAGCAAATGTTAGGAGTCCCCTCTGTGGGCCTAGACTGATGGAATACAATCCTGACACCGCACAGCCTTTTCTCAACTCGAGAAGTCAATCCCTCACATTTGTCCAGAGTTTTACAGTTTGCAAAGAATTTCCACCAGCTCTGGTTGCCTTTAAAATCACCTGGGGGAATTTTTAAGCTTCCTAATGCAGGCTTCACCAGTTAAATCAGAACCCCTGGGTGGGAGCTGGCATCAGGTACTTTTCCTGGCAATTCCAGTGTGTAGTCATGGCTGAGAACTACTGATTTACACTCATATTTTCCACTTGGTCATTAAATAACCCTCTGCCATTGGGCAAACCATTAATTTTACAAATATGAAAACTGAAGCTGAGAGAAGTAAGCTGGCCCAATATAAGAACTGGTGAGTTGCAGAGCAGGAAAGCAGACTTAGGTCTATTTGATTCCACACAGATCCATGGGCATTTAGATTGTACTATACCTATGACATGAAGCTAACAGAGACTGGGCTTCTCTAGATAGAAAGCTCCTGGTGCTCTTGTGACAGAAGAACTCTTTCAGATGATGACAATGGGCTGTAGCCTCACATCCCATCACTAAAGGTAACACCCATGCTTTTGTGTGACTTCAAAGAGATGGCTCTATAGGTGATGAATTACAAAAATACTGCCTTCCTCCAGGCTGACCAGCCTTTCAGATGGTTAAGTATAGAGTGGACCTTTGTGCAGCCAGAAGTCTTTGTGCAGTACACAAACTGCACAGCTATACAGGGTGGCCCCGCCCCCACCCTGGGAAGAGGTGGGTTAACTTACCTCAAACTCTAATTGCATGCGCTGTGAAAGATGACAGCTCTGTCTCTGCTCTCAGATTTCTGGTGCTTATTTCCTTGTGAACCTACTTGCTTCTGCATCGGTGCATGCTGCCTGCATTTCACTGCATGCTGTAACGCAAGTCATTTGTGAATTTTAGCTAACAGTCCACTCACATTATTCATTCATGAGTTTAACGCCTCTATGGAAGTTTTGGTCCCCACCAGGAGAAGCTGTATCACAGTTTCAGGCCTTCCTCCTCCCTGGATCCCTCCACCATACTTTGTCTTCCCACATTTCTAGTGCAAGCAAAAGGAATTCCTCCCGTTGCCTCAGAAGGGATGCTTTGGAACATGTCTTTTGTTGGTTATTTTGCAAAGGGGGATAGAAAGGGAGGGGTGAGTCATCTTGCCTCTCAATTCAGCACAGCAAAATTTTTTTCTTTCAAATACAGTGCTTTCCCTGAGATGAAGACCTCTGATGAGTAAAATTTTCTCACCTCTTGTATGAACTGAATTTAGAGTCCTAAACACAAATGGAAGGCTCTCTGAGAAATGTGCATGAAACACCATGATTAATGATTGATGTAATTAATGCACAGGCATTTAACAGATGCTTTCTCCCTAACTGGGAGCCAGGTAGGGCTAGAACAAAGCCAGAGAAATACCTTGACAGGTAAAAGATAGGAGGAAAAGGGTCTTGGAAAAGTAGTACTCCTGGTGCTGTGGATGCAGCGTATGGAAGAGAATCTGGGAACCATGATAGAAGGGGTTACCTGTTGAGGTAGGGTCATAACAAAGGTCAGAGGCTGGGTGCTAAAAGGAGTTAGATGCTGAAGAAAGAGTGCCTACTTTACAGGGAAGATAATGAGGGTGATCTTTGAACCAATAAATGCTAAGAGATCTTAGAAAATATACAGTTGCATGAAGAAAAGAAGGAAGAAGAGGGAAGGATTTTCCTGTTCTTCCTTGTAAGAACTAACTGGGACCTAGAAATAGATTTCTTCACTAGACTGACATCATATATATTATCTCCCAAGATAGGATCCAGAGTTCCATACCATCAAAGTATCATATGTTTACTCTTTGGGGGAATGTTTTGGGTGTTTCCTTCCTCTGGGTAGAAGTGCTGTAGACAAATTAAACATTATTTTGTTGCTGACCTTAACACTGTTAGGCAATATGAAAACTCTTCCTTCAATAAAGCATAGGGAAGCAGAGACATTCCTTAAGAGTCAATGTAGGAATGATGCCCTTTTGATTTTAGGAAACCTTCATTAACACTGGAAACAGTTCGATACCTGGTGGGGAAAGAGGAAGTTGCTACCATTTTGCAATGAGTGGGAAATCATTCCAAGTGATATTTCAGCATTTCAGCAGCTTGCTTCCAAAAGTAAGTACTGGAGAGATGAAGCATTTTGTTTTGCTCCTCAAATTAGGGAGGTGAAAGGAGGGGGAGAGTACTGAAATCAGTGATCACAGAGGTTGCCTCACAGTTAGAGAATAAACACCCCCAAAGGAGCACAGCTCCTGATAACATTTTCTGGCCTTTTTTATGCCTACCGAGTCCCATGCAGACCCACAGCCTCCTATTCAGAGTTTGAGTGCTGGTACCTTCTCTCACTCCTGTGGTCAGTTCAATCTCAGCCTTCCTCCTTCTTTCCCTCCCCACCCAGGAGAATGACAGAGTTCCAAACATGCTGCTTGTTTTGTGGGCCAGCTTCTCTCTGAAACCTACCAGCTCATGACAGCCTAAGCTCTATTCCCCTTCCTGTCTGGATTCTTAAATTACAGCAAGAGGAAACAAAGGCCTCATGGTTTATTTTCAGAATCATTTGTTATCTTGTCCTCTGAGTGTCCTGTTCTAAAATAGTGCTGTGCAGGGTTGCGCTGTCAATGCGTGGGAGATTAATGGAGCACAGGGGAGGGCAGCACTGTTAGCAGTGTCTTAAAAATTCTGTCATCCTACCAGCCAAGGATCACAGAATATAGACCCCAAAGGCTTCTAGAAAGCTCTTACTTCAGTTCAGGGAAAGCTGAGACTCAGAGAGGTTAAGCCTCTTATCTAAGGTGTGCACAGCTAGCTAGCACAGCTGAGAAGAGAGCCTTGTTTCTCAACTTCCAGCCTTTCCTCTGTCTGTGCTATGATTATGGAGATGGCGTCTATTAGAAAAGAACTGTGTTTCCTCAAGCATTTTTATTGCAAATGCTCAGCTACTTCTTAGTTACTATAATATTATTGATTAGTGGTCAGCCCATGTTGGAAAAATGGTCTGGGAAAAATGTAATAGAGTTATAATGGAGGACTTAAAGTGAAATTTCAATATTAAAGCATTAAATCTCCATATTTCCCTTCCTGGTATTGGTCTAATGACATACCATCCAATGCTGTATTAAATTAGTAACCAGGAGTGCTTTTTCAGGGCTGTTCTTTTATTTTTTAAAGTTTTATTCCTCCCAATCACATTGCAATGATGGTTTTCTCTTTTTAGATTCTGGTGAATGGAACCGTTTTTGCAAGAATGTCTCCCGGGCAGAAATCAAGCCTTATTGAAGAATTTCAGAAATTAAAGTAGGTGTCGTTGCATGAAAGGAGAGTATGCTCATTAACTATTACTACATAACACATTACTCAAAATCACAGTGGCTTAGAATTGGCTTAGCATAACACCAATTATTGACCTAGTGCTCAATAATCAGGTGTGAGTCAAATGGCTATTATTAAAAAGTCAAAAATAAGAAATGTTGGCAAGGTTGCAGAGAAAGGGGAACACTTAGACACTATTGGTGGGAGTGTAAATTAGTTCAACCATTGTAGAAATCAGTATGGCAATTCCTCAAAGCGCTAAAACCGAACTATCATTTGAACCAGCAATACCATTACTGGGTATATACCCTGAAGAAAATAAATCATTCTACATAAAAACAGATGCAGGTTTTTCTGTCTAACAATCTTTGTCCTCCAATTTCAGCTTTGGGGGAAAAAAAAAAACAAACACATGCAGGTGACTGTTCACTGCAGCACTATTCACAATAGCAAAGACATGGGAATCAACCTAAATGCTCATCAATAGCAGACTGGATAAAAAAAATGTGGCACATATGCACCATGGAATACAATGTAGCCATAAAAAAGAATGAGATTATGACTTCTGCAGGAACACAGATGGAAATGGAGGGTATTATCCTTAGCAAACTAATGCAGGAACAGAAATCAAATAGTATATGTTCTCACTTATAAGTGGAGGCTATGAGAACATATGGACACAAAGAAGAAAAGCACAGATACTGGGGTATCCTTGAGAGCCGAGGGTGGGAGGAGGGAGAGGAGCAGAAAAAATAACTATTGTGTACTGGGCTTAATTCCTGGGTGATGAAATAATCTGTAAAACAAACCTCCATGACACGAGTTCACTCATGTAACAAACCTGCACATGTACCCCAAACCTAAAATAAAAGTTAAAAAAGGATCAAAAAAAAATTTCAGGTGTGGCTTAGCTGAGTCTTCTGACTCAGGATATTGCTCAAAGGTGTAATCAGGTGTTGGCCATGACTACAATCAATCGGTGCTAGAGTCGGGCAAAAAATCTCCCAGCAGCCTCATTCACATGTTGAATGCTCAGTGCCTTATGAGCTGTTGGACTGAAGCTCAGTTTTTCACTGGCTAATGGACAGAAGAGAGCTTCAGTTCCTTGTGACAGGGGCCATTTCATAAGGAAGCTCACAGTGTGAAAGTTGACTTCTAACCGAGTTGGTAAGCAAGAAGAACCAGAGATAGAGAGAGCACGCAAAACGGATGTTGCTGTTTTTATATACAAGTCGCAGAAGTGATATTTCATCACCTTTGCTGTATTCCCTTCCTTAGGAGCAAGTCGCTAGATCCAGCCCACTTCCAGGGGAGTGGATTACACAAGGGCATGATGCCAGGAGCTGAGAATCACTGAGGGCCATTTGGGAGTTGCCTATCCCAGAGAGCATTTGTTCTGTGGTCCATAAGGCATATATCTTAGAGAACCCTCCCCTGCTTGGATATAGTGGAAATGATGGGGCAGGTTGTATAGCTTAGAATCAGAAAAATGGGGAAGTAGGTGAGTTATATCCTGGAATTATTTTAGGTTGGTCCATAAGACATGTGAATAATTTCTGGTCCTCTTAGCGAGAGGTGGAATAGCATTTTCACTTTATCTGGCTCCGGTAGGGAGAGTCAAGAGAAAGTCCTTTATTATCCCCTTCAAAAATAAAGATAACCAAGTTACATTATAGTGAAATGGTACTTCTTGAAACCAGATCTACCTGTTGCTGGATGGGAATGTTGCAGTTTGGGGCTGCAGTTCTAGAAAGTGAAAAGGAACATAGGCTAGTGAATCTTTAGATGACAGCTGGTAAGTAGTTGTTGGAGACAACTTACTTCAGGAGACAGCCTTTTACTTTCAGTTTTTGTTACTCAAGCATTCACAGGGAAGTCTCAAAAACTGCCTATTAACTTCCAGAATGCCTGAGGCTGGGTAAGTAACCAGTGACTACAATGACTATTTCATTCGCATGAGCATTATATGATATTGCTGAAGAAAGTAATTTTACCTTTTTCAAATGCCTGAGAAATTTCAAATGCCAACTCAAATGCCCAATTTTGAAAAGCTGTATTCCCCTTAAAAAAATCAAGTCAGGAAGAGACCTACTGAGACCTACTGTCTCAGAATGAGCTGTCTTCTCAATATCCCAACCTTCCTCCTCATGCCTTTTTCATTGGCAATATGCATAAGGCTGCCTGCATTCTCTTTCTGAGTTCAGGCAATACTAGAAGATGTAAGATTCCTGATGTGATATAGAGACTAGAAGTGTGCTTTGAGCCTGAAAAAAAGATCTATTTTTTAACAATTGTGGGTATTCATGACATGGACATATATAGCATGATTTTCATCTAACAACCCCGTATTGGATTGAACAATAGGGGTCTGTCTACATTGGACTATTTTGACCTGTAAAAGTGGTCATTTCTTATGCATTAACTAATAATAAGGAAATTCTAAGGAAACTTTATTTTTTCTCCTTATTGATTTTATAATTCTGTTTTCAGAAAAATGCTGCTATGTCTTTAACAGTATTGTCATTTCTTAATACTTATAATGTATTACTTATAATAGAAGGCAGGCAGTGTCTTACATCTGAAACTCCTTCTCTTTGGCAGTTATATTAATTTTTACTCTTCTATTTTTATCGTGCTTGCACACAAAACTGATATAGATGGAAAGAGTATCTTATTTTTACCCTGAGATAAATCCAAAATATGAGTATGTGTCCCTAGTTATATCTATTAAACTATTTTTGAAATTTCTCATCCTAGTATCTGAACTTGAAATGCTCAGCAACAGTCAACCACTAAAACACAGCTGGACTGGGTTATGATCTCTGCATTAGGTTGTGTGGGAAGTGCTCTGCTCATGACTGCTTACTTGCTTGGCCCTGGTGCATGTAATCAAGCAGGACTTCTTTTGAAGTGTGCGATCACTGTTCTGCTGATGTCCTTCGTGATATCGCTGCCATTTCGATGTGATTGAAACGACTTAAATAATACCCATTGTTATTACTTAAGAGACACATACTCAGACATTTCCCTCTGAGCATAGGTCTCTCCAAACCATTTTTCTTCAGCCTCCGTCCCAGTGTGTTCAGGGGACGCACATGTACACACAAATCACATGTGACTTAGTTATGACAGAAAATATTCAAGTGAGGTGTTAACTCTTCTTACCTGCTAATTTTTCTTATCCTGTCTCCTGCAGTTATTATGTGGGCATGTGTGGAGATGGAGCTAATGATTGTGGGGTGAGTAGAAAGGACTTCTGCTAAGGCAGGCAGCTCACTAGTATCCCTCGAGGACCTCATGGTGTCCTGGGGTGTATCTCTTCATCCTTCCACCAGCAACGATTTCATTATTTTGCTGTTTATATCCACCTCTACCTGAGTGTGGGTTGGAAGTGAAGGGGAGTTAAGGGAGAAGAAACACTTCAGATGCTTTCTGGAAACTCCTAGAATAATGAAAACAAGGAAAGACTACTCAGACTCCCATATTTCAGGTTCCAAAGAAGGAACTTTACAAATCTAGCTGGTTTAAATCTTTCCTGTTACCAATAAGGAAATGAGTCTCAGGGAGGTGATTTTTTCCCCTGCTCCCCACCAAGGTCACACAGCTGATAAAGACTCAATGAAAAAAGTTTGAAACTGACGGTTAAAGTTTTGAATTATAAGTAAATTATATTTATTCCTGTCAAACTTTCCTCCTCTGGTTAGTTTTTAAAAGTTTGCTTCACCCAGAACTCTTTCACTCAGTAAAATCCTAGACCAAACTATTTGGTTATTTTATGCTACAGAAAAAATAAAATTATTCTCTGCACATTATTTTTCATCTGCAGTAGAAGAGCAGTGCATGTTTTATATTCTGAGCTTTAAAGGCATGCAGGAAACAAATAGTCTACCTTCAAGATTAGGTACCAAGGAACTATTTCAGGAGTTGATTCATGGGACAAGAAATGAGGAAGATTTCTTTGTATTTCCAAAGCTTATTAGAGATTTAAGATCTAAGTATTTGTTTTATTTCTCTCGTAAATATTATTTCCAAATTTCTGTAAAATTGTTTATAGCTAGAGATTTATTAAGATTTTATATTTTGCTTTATGCTTAATGAGAAAAAGCTAATTTTTACTCTGTTCTTTCAAATCTAGAATGTGTAATCCTTTCACATTAACTATGTGGCGTTTAGAATAAAACAAAAAAATCAAATGTTAAAAGGGACATAGTCTCTGCCTCCTGAAGAGTCCATTGTCTGATGAAGAAAGAAATCGGGCATAAAACTAACCCTAGCATAAAGTAGATGATCCTAAAGTATATCATAGAGATACAAAATGCTAACAGAGAAAAGAAGAAGGAAATATTCTAATATTTATTAAACATGGAACTAGTATGTATTGTTCATGGTGCCAGGTAGTCTGTGGAACTACAGATAGATCAAATTTCATTTTATGCCCACATGATTCTTGTAGGATCTGACTAGGAAAAGGTGGGGATTCTACCTTTCACCTTTATTCATGAAGATTCCTGCCAGGTACAAGAACTAAAGTGGTAAATGTCCCTAACCAAAGTCCATCCAAATTCTGTCATCTTTTTAATTCACTTTTTGAATGAGGGCTTCCATCTCCTTATCACATCTATATTCCCCACAGGCAGGGCATTGCACACACACACACCCACATCCACACACACATGCCTGTACACACACCATTCTTCTACCTCTGGGTCATTGTTTAGTTAGTGACTGTGTGGATTAGGGGAAAGAGGGACAGGTGGAGGGACAGCATAAACTGAGACCCGAAGATGACAGGGTATAGTGTTAAACCTCTATGATGTGAAGAACAGCTTCTTGGTGTCTTAAGAGGTAAAGCCTAGCCTGAAAAGTCATGGGTGTGACATGGGCTTATCATTCCAGGCTTTGAAAGTGGCTCATGCAGGCATTTCATTGTCAGAGCAGGAAGCATCTGTGGCATCCCCTTTTACCTCTAAAACAGCCAATATCGAGTGTGTGCCTCATCTCATCAGGTAAGTCATTTCTTCCTTTTCCACCCCCACAACCAGTGGGCCCATTGTCTGGCTCTGGAGACAGACAGAATTCAACCTAAAGTAATAAACGCTGCAACAGAAGTATGGGCGAAGTGCTATTGGAGAACTAATGAAGGGGCCATTAGTGTTGCTTGAGAGTGCTGCTAAAAGCCACAGAAAAGTGACTTCCACTGAGCCTTAAAGGATAAGTAGGTATCATGTAAACAGTTGAAAGCTTGATTTGATATTTTAAAACTGATGGTATTTCTTACTTTTTCTCTCCTTTATTTGATATGCGGGATGCTTCCCCTGACATTTCTCTCAGGAGTTTGGGATTGATGAGGAAGCAGAAAGGTATTACTTCATTAGATAGCTTCTCTAAATACTAATACATGTCTCCAAAATATAAATTAGTAAATATCTAATATCTTTTACATAAAAGATGTTACAGTTGATTGGCAGTGTCAGGGAAGGGGAAGTGATATGGTTTGGCTCTGTGTCCCCACCCACATCTCATCTGGAGTTGTGGTTCCCAACACGTTGAGAGAGGAACCTGATGGGAGGTGACTGGATCATGGGGGCAGTTTCCCCCATGCTATTTGCATGATAGTGAAGGAGTTCTCCTGACATGTGATGATTCTTAAAGTGGCAGTTTCCCCTGCGTGCTTTCTTTCTCCTGTTGTCTTGTGAAGAAGATGCCCACTTCTCCTTCACCTTCTGCCACTGTAAGTTTCCTGAGGTTTCCCAGCCATGTGGAACTGTGAGTCAATTAAACCTCTTTTGCTTATAAATTACCCTGTCTCAGGTAGTATCTTTATAGCAGTGTGAAAATGGACAAATACAGGAATACATTAAGAGATGTTTATTTTCACAGGACGCCTCCCTCACCTCCACTCCACTCTCACTTCTGATCTCGTGTCTACTTATATTTTAAATGCAGTTAAGACCAAAATACCCAGTTTTATGTTTTATTCATAAATCTCATTTCTCTGTTGTTTCCTATAGCACTTAGGGTTAATTTCTAGGCATTTTCATGGGCAGTGATCTGAAAAACATCACCAGATTTTGATATTCATACAAAAAAGACAACTATGAAGTTCCCCAGCATGTCTTTTGGAACTCAAGCCAGAATAAACAGGTCACTGGCAGGAATCATTGATCTAAATGTAGCAGGTCTAAATTTCCATGCTCCTGGCTGGCTGCATATCAGCAAGACAGTTTTACACAACACCCTGAACACTGGGGATTTGCATCTGTGTCCTTTCACACCCTCAAACATGATCATTTCCCCTGCTTCAAAAGCAGCTCCTCTTCCCAACTCCCATGTCCCCTGCTTCTAAGAACAATCTACTCTTTAGAGTCAGCGTTGAGGTTCAGACCCTTAGACTCTTTCTTCTTCTTCACTCATAACCAAACAAACATTATGTTTTACCGATTTATCTTCGCAGAGTCTCCTAAGCCCTTTGCTTAATATCTCTAGTGTCTTAACCTTGGTTTGTGTCATGGTGAGTACACAATGATAGTGCTCAGAACCCTCACCTTATTTTATGCTTTTCATCATCAGTACAACTCATGGAGCTCTTTACAAATGTGCTTGGAAATGTGGTGAAGCATGAGAGTCCTGCCCTGGAGAACTTACATTCCAGCAAAAAGATACACACACACACACACACACACACACACCAAATATATACATTATTTATTAAGTGCCTCTCATGCATCAGGCATGTTTTATACACACACACACAATTATATATATGTATATAATGTCTGATATATGAGAGGTGCTCAATAAATTTGCTTGAAATAAATTAATGTCCAAACAATACAGCAAATGTTCTGGCAGTTGAATGTGAGAACTTAAGCCAGGAGGGGAGGTTTCAGTAGGGGAGTTCCAACTTGCAGTGGCAGTTGAACTTCAGATGCTCCTCCTCATGCCTGTGACCCAATGCATTTGTGAGTACAGAATACTGTTACGGAATACAAGTAATGAGGTAAAACTTCTACAGTGGCAGATGACTCAGTGAGACTCCAGGGTAGAAACTACTTGCTTTTATATTTCATAGATTTATAAAAATTAGATGTGGTTCAGCTCTGTTAGGCCCATTTTACTTTTTCTATCCTTGATTCATGCTTACTCCTGAGAAAGCACTCCAGAGAGGCAATGAAATACAGTTCTGGATGCATGGGTTCAAATCCACAGATTTTCATCTTTGTCTTTTGAAACATGATTTACTTGTTGCTGTAGTTCAAGTCCTTTAGGGCAAGGACTGTGTCTTAGTCATTTTTGATCAAGTATTATGCCTATCACTAAGCTGGGTATGTCAGAGCATTCAGTGAATGTTTGTAGATTGCATAGATAAAGGCATGAGCTACTTAAAATTCACAATCATTAGGAATAGCAGTAGTTTTGGAGGCCCATTTGTCCTTTACTAAGAATGGTTTCTTATACTTTCCTTTGAATCAGGGTGTCTTAATTTTCCTGGAAATATACATGATTGCAGAAAAAAAGGAATGAAATCACAATGTTTATATCAGACTTGGGAAAAGGATCCATACTTTACATGCTTGCCCCTTCTCATCTTGTCTTCTGCTCCATCTTCAGTATTGAAAACAAACGACAACACCTCACAGCTTGGTAGAAAATATCTTCCCAAAGTATCCTGGTCTGTCTTCCACCCTAGCCTTCTTATTTTGCCTGAGACGAAGTGGTTAGTAGTTTGGCTTTTAGGTTCTTCTTTTCATGTTGACCACATCTTTGAGCAGAGCAGGGGTCCATGTTACTGGGCACTAGAAATGAAGTGGATATGGGTCACTTCCCATGTGGACTGCTTCTGCCCTGACAAGAGAAGGCTGCAGGACAGTTGGTTAGCTGAGGTCCCACTCCCGCGTCAAGTGCTGCTACCTCACATTGTTTTCCTTTAACCTGTCATAATCCACCATTCAGAAAACCTCAGTTACACCATTAACATGTAAGACCGAATTTTTTTAAAGGAGGAATATCTACTTTTTAAGTTGCATTTTTTTTACTGTTGTCTTCATCTCTTGATCTTTATGGCCCACTGAGATTATAACCCTGGGGTCTTCCCATAATATCAAAGCCAGCATAACCCATTTCATCTCAAATACTAGAGTCACATTCCCACTTCCTAAAATGTCAAAGCACCTATCCTTTAACTTTATGTCTCCAAGGACCTCTAAAGCACACACAGTGCAATTCCCAGGAAACACGTATTGTTAAGATGGAATGAGTCACAAGCAAGTCAATGCTTGACATTTTGCACCTTATCATAATGTTGCATTGTGTTTATAATGCACATAGTAATCTTCTCACTTCACTGAAAACTAGTAGGAAATGAAGAGTGTGCCTGATTCATTTTATATCTTGTATGACTCTTAGCATAATGCTGGTACTTCATAAGCCCTAAACAAAAGTGAGTAAATGAACCGATGTGTAACCTAATTATTGAAGTAGAGAGTGAATGAATGAGTGGTTAAATAAAATGAAAGGGTGAATTCGTGATTAAATGAATGTATGTCAGCAGGCTACTGAAAATGTAACTACTTTTAAATATAAAAGAAATTGGGAGACATCTATCATACATAACCAATTATTTTTATTTATTTTTAAACAGAGAAGGCCGAGCTGCTCTGGTTTCATCTTTTGGGGTATTTAAATACTTGACCATGTATGGCATAATCCAGTTTATCGGTACATCACTGCTTTATTGGGTATGAACTAAAATCATTTTGTTTCAATTCTAATTCCATTTATATTGTTAATTTGTTCAGGGTGTAGCTCTTATACAAGATTTAGTGTTTTATAAATAAATGACAATTCTCAATATAGGTGTCTGCAAACTCAGGAACCTAGTATAACTGTGCATGAAATGTGGAACTAGAAATAAGGAGATGTAGATGAGTTTTCTAGAGTGTTGTTTTGCTCTCAATAACCTGAGAGTCTTGACCTCTCCAAACCTGTGTTTCTTATTTTGGAGTATGAAGAGAGCTTCAGAACAACCTAAATATAATTCAACAGGAAATAAATGAGTTTCCAGTTGTGGAATATTTTCAACAAAAGACTAAGAAGAGATAAAAAGGAAGAGAAGTTGTTGAATTTGCTTTTGAAGGACTAGAATGCTAAAGACTTTTTCAAAATGGACCCTTATAACAGAACCTACCTAGAATTCATACAGTTAGACATATTATTAGTAAAGAATTAGGAATTCTTTGAAACTAAAAAAGACTCAAATTTAAATGATGATAATAGCCATTTAAAAATTAATTAGCTGTATGGAAGAACAATGTATAAGCTAAAAATAAACTTCATTAGTCCAACATAGCTTGCACTATGTAAAATGATCCAGCAGGCTCAAGGAACACTTCAGGAGAGATTATTATTTCCTGAGAGGTTTGAGAAGTGAATAAGAGGGCCACAAGATTATACCATCCAGCAGGCTATTGCTTGCAAGGAACATTCACAGAGGGCTCAAAGGCAGCCTGGTGGAGAGAAACAAGAACCAGACTGGGAGTCAGAAAACCTGGATTCAGGTTCTTCCTCCATCCAAAAAACAAATTAGGTCTTGCCTTTGGCCAAAACCTGCTTCTGAGCAGCTGATTTTCAAAGCCCTCCATAGTTCCATGAAAGCTGCTTTTAGAAGAAAAACTAAAGCTCTGGTTGGAAATTTCTTCCTGCTCCACCTCATTCTGAATGTATAGTTTTACCACTCTCAGGTGAAAAGAAGGGAAAAGGATATGAGAAAGAAAAGTAAAGAAGACAGGGGAAGAACTGGACGTTGACAGGGACACTGAGGAACCAGTGGCAGCCTTTCAAAAATGTGAAAGCAGAACTTCATTTCTAAAGCCTCCATGGATGAAGATAGAAACCATAGTCCACTCTGAAGTCATTCATTCTTGTGGTCTAGACCTAAATAAAGAGTGTCACAGGAGAACCTTAACCTAGTACCTTCTGGGGCTTGGATTGACCCTCTGAGAAGCCAGCCATATTTTTCTTGTGCATAAATCTGGTCTGTAATGTGCTCAGAACCAGTTTATAGTTTAGTGCTTAGTCAACAGATATGAAATAGATAAACAGACCTGGCTGCAAGAGATACTGCAAGGCAAGTTCTTGGAGAGTAACGATTTGACTTTCATGTCTAAATACTTCAGCTCTATAATGTGAACTTGAAGGAAGTTCTCTCTACACAAGCCTTAAAAAGGCAGATGTACCAGACTGAATTCTGCAATGGGCTTGCTTAGAAAAGGAGCCCTTGTTCAGTTTGTGAAAGTCAATGGACTCCAAGAGACCTATGTTGTAAACTCATCCTATGGGTAAGGATGGAGAGCAACACCTGTTGAATGAATTGGGCCTTCACTTCAAATTTTAAGTGTAACATTTCTAAGGGAACTTTCAGGCTTTATTATTTTATGTTGAGAACAACTGTCTAGGCTGAGACTGCAGCTGTCAGGTAATTAATGCACCCAATAGGAGAATGGCTCTCAAATGATTGACTTTTGTCTCTATTATGAAGTAAATTAAATGCAGGGAAAATAGTCCTCTAGCCCTGAGATGCTAATAATTTTAGGTAAGTCATTTTCTGCCTGAAGAGGGGAGCAAAGTAACAGCTGCCTCCTAACTACTTAAAAAGAGTGTAGGGAATAAGAAACAGGCGATGATGGCAGATGCCACATTTATATTTGCTTTTGTTTCTTTTTCAGCAACTGCAACTCTTTGGAAATTACCAGTATCTCATGCAAGATGTAGCCATTACTTTGATGGTCTGTTTGACAAGTAAGCTCTTTAGCAAAGTAAACTGTATTGTTTTTATTTATCTATGAAATTCTAGAAATAGTCACACAAAAAGGAACTTTTGAGAAAAAGGCACCTTTATTTCTAAAACCTCATTATCTATGAATTTTTTAAAAGTGATGTTGGGAATAAGTTGAGAGTTGAAATCCCCAGACTTGGCATTAAAACATTCTGATAACAAATAGGTCTTAGTCTCAAAAAATTGTCAAGGTAGTCGGAGTTCTTTGCAGGTTTATGTCTTGTACGTAGAAAAATGAATAAGAAATCTAGAAAGGGAATGTTTTAAAACCCAAAGGTCACTTTCCATTATTCAGCTATGCTTCACATTGACGTGAAACCAAATTTTTGCCAGGTCTTTGATGTGTGAGAACAAATGCTAACGTTTTATTTTAGTAGAATTCTCCAAAGTCAAGGTGTGGCTTACAACAGCAGCTATTGCTCATTTCCTTCCTTAGAGATGACACTGATAAAGTATTTCCTATCAAGGAACTCAGGGCTTGATGCTAACTCTTCATAAGTGAGAAAGGTGACTGCCTCACCAGAGAGGAAGGAAAAAGAATGGCATTGTCATCCCTTTTTCCTTGCTCAACAATAGGCATGTTATGAAAAATAACAGATAAAACAGGCAATGCAGGATATTAATAACCTGGAGAATTTCATGTAGTATCTTAATACATAAAACTGATATGTCTCATGTATCAACCCAATGACTAAATTTATCAGTATCAGAGATCGAAGCACTATAATATATATTTTGATTGTTAGGGTTGAAATGTCTATTCATAGCTTATTAAACTATTTTTCTACATGTTATTAATATTCTTATGACTGAATAATTTTGAATCAATCAGATAGCTTCTACAGTGTTGAATATTTTAAGCAATTTGCATGATTTGTTTTTGAATGATGCTAAAAAGAGAAAAAAACACTGAGAGATTTCAGGAACCAAGCTTTCAGGCAGCAGTGTGGAGGTGAAGACAATGGCTATTATGGCCTGTTTCCATGAGCTCTGGCAAACTGTCCTCAGAATTGTGGGGATCAGATACAATGAAGCTTGTAGAGTATGCACTACATCGCAGGACACATGGGGCATTCATTACAACCTGAATCATATCACACCACACCTCTCCTCCTTTTCCTCTTTTGAGAAGACTAACTAGCTCTCTGAGCACTTGAAGAGCATTAGAATGTGTACAGGTAGACAGGCGTCATTAGAAACCCCAAAACATGGCTGGTTTTCCTAGTTCTAGTGTTGCCTAAGACTTGCTATATGACATTGAGTAAGTTATCTGGAGCTTTTGCACACTTAATTCTGTGATGTTAGTTATGGATTTGACTCCTGTGGTAGTGGGGCTGCTTAACTCTTTCCTACAGCAATAGCCTGTTAAGCCTCATGCCAGTTGGTAGCCCTGGAAAACTCAGTGTCGCATCTCAGAGTGGGCTCTATGGGAGTGCTGGGATGACTCATAGTGGGACCTTATTACCACTGGGAGAAAAAAGTCTCAGAATAGTGACGATAGACCAGAAGCTTAACATTCTATCAGAATGAGAGCACTTTAATTATTACTCAACAAACTGTAGCTAGTAAATTGGCTAAACTCAGGGGAGACTGGTGAGGGAGAGAGTAGAGGCAGAAACCAGCTACGCTTGTTTGTTTGTTTTTCACCCTCTACCTGCAAATATCCTATTGTTTTCCCATCTCTGCAAGCTTATTCATCCCACAGGCTGATCATTTCCCAGTCAAGTCTAAGTATTAAGATGAGCTTATCCTTAGATATGAAAAGTCCAGATATTATAATTATTATTTCACATTTTCATCCAATTCAAAGTTTTTCCTCCCTTAGATCAAGCCTGACCTATGGGCTTGGGGCAAGCAGTAGATGAGAAGGCCATGGTCTCTTCTTCGCTTCCCTTGAGTCACCTACTCTCCACCCCTGCTTCTGGGGAAGAAGAGCAATGAGAGCAAAGGACTTATTTTTAAGCTCTTTTTGTCTGCTGCAAATTTTATTTTAAGTTCCAGGGTACATGTGCAGGATTTACAGGTTTGTTAATAGGTAAACATGTGCCATGGTGGTTTGCTGCACAGATTAACCCATCACATAGGTATTAGGCCCAGAATCCATTAGCTAGTCTTCCTGTTGCTCTCCTTCCTCCTTGCCCTCCCCAACAGGCCCCAGTGTGTGTTGTCCCCTGGCATGTGTCCATGTGTTCTCATCATTCAGCTCCACTTATAAGTGAGAATATGGAGTGCTTGGTTTTCTGTTCTTGCATTAGTTTACTAAGGAACAAATGGAAAAACACTCCATGCTCACGGATAGGAAGAATCAATATCATGAAAATGTCCTTACGACCCAAAGTAATTTATAGGTTCAATGGTATTCCCATTAAACTATCATTGATATTCTTCATAGAATTAGAAGAAACTATTTTAAAATTCATATGGAACAAAAAAAGATCATGAATGGCCAAGACAATCCAAAGCAAAAAGAACAAAGCTGGAGGCATCATGTTACCTTACTTCAAACTAGACTACAGGGTAACAATAACCAAAATAGCATGGTACTGACGTAAAAGCAGACACAGAGATCAACAGAATAGAGAACTCAGAACTAAGACCACACATGTCATCTGATCTTTGGCAAGTCTGACAAAAACAAACAATGGGGAAAGCATTTCCTATTTAATAAGTGGTGCTGGGAGAACAGGTTAGCCATATGCTGAAAATTGAAACTGGACCCCTTCCTTACACCTTACACAAAAATTAAGTCAAGATGGATTAAAGACGTAAATGTAAAACCCAAAACTATAAAAACTGAGGATGAAAATATAGGCAAAGGACTTTTTACTTAAGTAGGAGTATGTAGTGCTCTCCTGTCAAATGCCTTCAAACATGGCAGGCACCTACATTCAGGCAATAGGCATGGAGTTCATTGGTGAATTCATCAGAGATTCCTTGTCGATTGGTCTGGACTAGACCATGCCCTGACATGGTGGTGCTCTCTCTCTCTGCCTCTCAAGATTCCTTTCTGCAGCTGCCTCCTAATGGCACATACCATGATGCCCTTTTCTACTGCTGGGCCCTCCAACCCCAGTAGGCTGCCACATAGATAAACCCCTTCAGAATAGCTAGTTTTAGCCTGGCTAATTTCCATGGCTTCTGTTTGACCTACCAGACAGTAAACGAGTAGCTTGCCCTCACTGCTGCCTGACCTTTCCCTCTCCTATTATACCATGAAGATGAGTGAGCAAGGCCAGTATATTCTCTTAAAACCACTTCCACTCTCTCCAACAATGGCTACTACGACTTCCCTTCATGGGGTTGCAGTGCAGCTGAGAAGACCACAGTTTATGCTGCTCCTAAAAATTGCCTTTAAAGAATTGCTTGATAGTCTCCATAAGTTTTCTCTTATACAGATTTCATTCAGCAAATGGGGCAGGAACAGGCATGTTTGTAGTTGAATAACCAATATGGATCTCTCTTGCCAGATACTATACAGATATGGCAATAATCTCACTTCACAATAAATTATCACCTTCAATTCATTATCCTCAAATATAAGGCTCAGCAAAATTCTCTAGACAAGAAAAGCCCCATTCAACATTCCCTTATGCAAATGTTGATCTCTCACTATGTATTAGCCACATAGGTTCCTGAGGCATGAGAAGGCTGATTGTTCAAGTTTATAGAGTTTAGTGGGGGATTCACATATATGAACAAATAAGATGCAAGTTGAAAGTAGTGAGTAGCAGAAAACAGCAGATGCTTTGGGAGTTCAGAGAAAGCAGAGATGGTTTGATAATCTGGGGTTCAGGAGGAGATAGCAGTGAAGAATGGAGAAGGAGACTAGGCATGGATGCATGAAAAAAAGAAGCATTCACATCAAAATGGGAAGGATGGATAAGTTTCAAATACCTTTTGCTAAAAGAAGAGCATTTCAAGTAGAAGGAAACAGCATGAACAAGCGAAAGCTGACAAATAGGAGCTATGAGTTTTTACTGTGACCACACTGCAGGGTATGTGAAAGAAACAGGAGGAGATAAAAATTGAAAAAGTGAATTGGGCCAAATCACAGAGAATCTTGATTGCTGATCTGAGAACTGTGGACATTTATCTGCAGCCCTTAAGAGTCATGAACAATTGATGATTAATGTAAAATCACCACTGACCCTGATTTACGATGGTTTGACTTATGGTTTTGGACTTTACAATGGTATGAAAGTGATGTGCATTCAGAAGAAAGTGGCATGATACTCTCTTAGGATGCTGAGCAGGGGCAGCAAGCTGTAGCTCTTCACCAGTGCAGCAATCATGAGGTTAAACAACAGATACTGTCCATTGTACTGTGTAGCCAGACGATTTTGCACAATTGTAGTCTAATTATGTGTTGTGAGCATGTTTGAGGTAGGCTAGGTGCAACTATGGTATTGGGTAGGTTAGGTGTACAGTATAAATACATTTTCAACTTAAAAATGTTTTCAATTGGCTGGGCGCAGCAACTCATGCCTATAATCCCAGGACTTTGGGAGGCTGAGGTGGGTGAATCATGAGGTCAGGAGTTTGAGACCAGCCTGGCCAATATGGTGAAACCCTGTCTCTACTAAAAAATACAAAAATTAGCTGGGTGTGGTGGTGTGCATGTGTAGTCCCATCTACTTGGGAGGGTGAGGCAGCAGAATCGCTAGAACCCAGAAGGCAGAGGTTGCAGTGAGCTGAGATTGCACCACTGCACTCCAGCCTGGGCAACAGGGCAAGACTCTGTCTCAAAAAAAAAAATGGTTTCAAATTACAACAGGCTTATCAGAAAAGAACTCAATTGTAAATCAAAAAGCATCTGTATTTTCATCAAGGCTTCTTACATGTCCAAATTTCCAGGTTAAGGTTTTTGGCCTTAACTCTGAATTAGTTCTGGGAAGAGACAATACCATCACATATTTAATTAATTTACTTACTTATCTATACACACCCTCCCTTGTTCCCATAA